TATTGGTTTATCTATGTACGATGGCTTGGAGAGCGAGAGCCCTCCTGATAATGGCTTGGACAGTACTATGGGTACTACCAAAAAACTGGCTAGAGGCATCTCCCGTGCAACTGAAAATGCAGCAATTGTTTCCTATGCTCGTTTACAATTGGCAGCCTTAGAAACACTCGATACACCAGAATTCACATTTTCATTGCCGGACTTGTCTGTGTACCCAGGTATCATTTTTTGTTCGAGCGCAAAATGTGTATCCGAATTATTTTTTTTATTAACATTTAACTAATTTTTTTATTGATATTTTACATCTAGATAATTTTCGTAAGTTTTTGGAGAAAGATCTGATAGAGAATGGATGCCTAAATTCTTTAGAAGCTGCAGGTCGTTTAAACTGGTGGTATAAAAGTGGAAGCACTAGAATTCTTTGGCCACTAGCAACATCTGGAGATGGCAATTGTCTACTTCACGCTGCATCGTTGGGAATGTGGGGCTTTCATGATAGATTACTTACTCTGCGAGAGGCATTGCATAATACTTTAACCAAAGGAGAATACAGACATGCACTTTTTAGGTATGAAATGAGAAAATATTAATTTTAAAAGAGGTAAATCTTTGAGACATCTATTTATCTAATACCGTAATTATTAGACGATGGAAGTGGAGACAAACTAGTCTAAATGAAGCGGCTGGATTATCATACACGGAAGCGGAATGGTCATCGGAATGGCAAAGTATAGTGGATATGGCATCTCCTACAATCAGAAATCAGACTGCTGCCTCTTACCAGAGTCTTGAAGAAGTGAATATTACGGTTTTCTTTGGCTACAAATTTTTATTTTAGATATGCAATCTATACTTTAATTTCAGATACACGTGTTAACCTTGGCTCATGTCTTAAGAAGGCCTATAATAGTTATAGCAGAAACTATGTTGAAAGACGCGGATGGAGTAGCTTTAGCACCGATCCCATTCGGTGGAGTGTATTTACCTTTGGAAGTACCGCCTTCGCATTGTCATAGAACACCCTTACTCTTGGCATATCATTCTGCTCACTTCTCCCCACTTGTAACTGTAGATGGCTGTCACGATTATGGCAGCGCTTGCGGCGAAGGAGTTAGTATACCATTAGTGGATCCAGACACAGGCAAAATGTTATCAGTTTTATTTGCCGTGGATCCTGGCCCTGATTGGGATTGGGTTGATGGTTCACGAGAATTGTTAACATGTACACAGGATACCGTAAGTAAATCTCGTTGCATATATTCAGCATTTTATTAACAAAGTATTAAATTATTGGTAACGAAATCATTTTATTATTTGTATGCAGATGGAGGCTTTGTTGCGACAGTATTTAGATTGCGAGTATCAAAGTTTCACGTCCGAAGATATTGACAGGCTTTCTGATACGGATGGTTATTTGTCAAAAACCGCGAAGCAATTGTTAGAGGTCGCGAAACAATTCAGTTCTATCGGTAAATCTGTCAGTAAAAAAATATTGTCTATGACAAATAAAAGGCCAAAGAGCCCGCCTTCCACAAACGGTGGAATTTCGACAGAAGGCTTGTTGTGTGTGAGAATAAAAAGTAGACGTCATCAGTACGTGGATCAAATGCTTCAAAATTATCTTGAGTGTGCCCATGCGAGGTATTTCAATTTTGATTATTCAATAGATCAGAAAAGCGTGGATCATAGTTATATAATAGATTTACAGTTTACTGTATCTATATGTTGCAGATTTCTACAACATTATCAGTTGGACACAGGTGGTCAACTAAATTACGGTGCCGGAAAATCCAAATTTTACGCTGCCAGTGATCGCAGTAGTCATGCGAGCGTTAACAAACTAATACCTACTAACACAAATAAAGATCCTACTCTTTATCTTTCGAGGTATAATTCCAGAATCTAAACTTTCTTTGCTATATACAATATAATTATAGAATAAATTAACATTTTTTTTTCACAGATCTACATTTTTTATTGATACAACTCTACCAAATAATACGGGGCCAGAGACTTGGAATAGTAGTGACCATTTAAAGGTATGTCAAATAATTTTCGAAAGGAATAAATTCTGTTAATTAAAAGTTTTCGTTTGTACAGGGCACCGTGAAGGAGTGCCGCAATGAACACTGCCAATTCTTTGGATCACCAGAAAACCAATATTATTGCTCGCAGTGTTGGGCTCATCAACATTATAATTAAACAACCGTCCATAATCGTACATGACAATAATCTCAGTTTAATACCGTTCAAAATACTATTAAATAATTTTTAGACATAATACTAGCCATAAGATAAAGCTTATGAATGTCCCACCAACATATCGTCGATAATGTTACATTGTTTTCAGTTGTTTTCTCATGTTTTCTTGTATTTATTAACATTTTCTATCGGAAAACTGCATATCATATGCACAGGATTCAATTAATCGACATGCGGATTCATTGCGAAGCGTTTACAGCATATGTTTTCGTTTCAAATTTAAAAAAATGTATATTATTTTTGTTTGAGAAACAAAGTTGTTTTGCAATTTCGATGTGCCTTCTGTCTTACATGCGCGGAACAAAAAATAATCTAATCATAATAAAAACGTTTACTCTCACAACTACCTCTACAATTTTCGATTATAATCGTCAATAATTATCACTCCGTGGTTTTTTTTTGTATTGATAAAAGATGATATGGAAATGTTTATAATCTCTCATTATCCTGTGCATCTACAGCTGTGTGAAAAATAAACCATATTTTTATACATATATATATCGCCTCATTATTTGCTGATGTGTGGAATATGATAGATCGTAGTTAAAAACATACACAAAAAACTCAGTTTTTGCCATAATAAAATGTATTTACACATATTTCCTCACATTAGCCTATCATCATGTGAAAAAGGTAATTAATAGTAAATGATTAACATTACCTGATATTATTACCCATATTCACTAAATTATCGACAAAGCATATGTGTGATAATATTACACGCTAATTTTTAATATTTATACGAAGAAAAAACTTTATATACAAAAAAGAGGAGGAAAGAATTATGCAGTATATAAATTATTGTTTTTTTTTTTTTCAGTACTTTGTATGTTCTCTATTATTATAAATAGCTATAGAAGAAAAACACGAAATGAAGAAAGATTTTACAGTACGTCGAAGGAACTAGGGAATATTCACTTCAACTACGATATTACTACAAGCGCAGAGTATATGCTTAACTATTGGAATTTAAAAATGTCCTCTTGCTTTCATTTTATCATTTAAACACTTTCAACATCCGATATTGGTCTTTCAATTAAATGACTAATAAAGAAATAAGTAAAAGAGTACCATCTATGTATATTTCGTGTCTTTAAAATTGAGTTTCATGTACTATTTACAATTTCAGTCATACGAGCACAGATACAGTATCAGAATCGATTAGTTTTGTATCCCCGATATACTTTCCATTTAAATAATAAGTTTATATTTAACCAATTTCATCTGGAAAGTTTTATTTTCTTTTATGAAAGATGATAGCAAAAGAGAGATCTTTAAGAAAATTATAAACTAAAATAACATTTATGGCTGTAGCATTATACACGTATAAATTTCATTATAAGTTCTTTTGAAGATATTTAATGTCATTTACAATCAAAATTAAGATGTAACAAAAGTTATCCATTTCTAAAGCCATAAGTGAATTTATCATTCAGAGCCGCGAAGAAATAAAAACATGATTATTGTTAATTTCATTTTGTAATTCAGTAAAATAATACGGCGAAAATATCAGTATGGTTACATCGATATATGGATGCACATACATATATAAATATAATTAATGATATCAATGTATAACATGGATCCTAGTGTATGAGATGCAAAATTTATTACTGATAATTTTTTAACAGGTCTTCTTCGGCAGCTTATTTTCTCTTACACTAGATTGGATTCTTCCCCTGATAATTTTTTTTTCTTTTGTGTCATTGTAACATAAATAATTATTCAAAACAATGCAAATTTTATATATATTATAGATATTATACTTGGGATCAATTGATGTACCCATTTACAACTTTAAACAAGACGTAAAACTAGATGTCCAATGTAAAAAAAAATCAATCGTGTACTTATAGTACTTACGTATGATCATTTTTATCGAACGTATGTTATTGTAAGGTAAATCAATTGGTCCGTTCCTATTTAAAAGATCAAAGTGCCAGCCACAACACAACAAGCAGAGTGCTCCTCTATCCATAGTACTTATATCTTATATCCATATCTCGCGCGCGCGCGCCATAGCATATTGCTTAAGTTAAAGAGCTTGTAAACACGGAATTCTCCATAACTTTTCCATATAACTATTAACATTCCAATCTTTCTATTAACTCTCGCCCAACGAAGACTGGCATCATTCTCTTAATTAGCTCCACTGATTTTTCACACATTTCATAATAAGTTTCTGTAAAGTAATATATTAAATATTTGTGTAATATCTATATCGTATTTGTGTAATACAATATAACAAATATAGCTTAACATATTAAGGTTTAATATTATGTATACACAACATAAATAAATTTTCTAATCACGCGCCATAATAAATAAAAATTTTCATCGCATAACGATTCAATTCTCACTGTCCAACAAATACTTCGGTAGTGCAAGAGTTAAAGAATATCTTTCATAAACCATCGTTAAATAGAAAATTGTATTGCTCAACAATAAAATTTTGAAATAAACCTTTTTAAGAACTTTATAAATATAAGAACTTTATAAATATATCCTATTAAAAGTTTTATAAGTTTCAATAGGATATATATATATAGATTTGTTTTTAAAAAACATAAATGACACTGATTGATGATGTCTTATGAGAGATATATACGTAATCTTATTTCAGTTTTTCTTAGAGTATTTTTGACAAAAAATACTTATTTGAACTTTAATATCCAGAAAAAAAAACACAGAGATTGTCCGGTTTAGAAGCTCGTTAATTTATTAATCTATACAGAACTGATATATAATAATTAGCGATTCGCGGGCTTTTATTATCATTTAAGAAATGGATCACGATTCCCCATTACCACTATCATCACCATCCTCGTAATCGGTCGCGCTCAACTGCTCATCTTCATCATCATCCAACTCGTACTCGTCATCGTAGAAGTCCGTCATATCTAGTTGTTGTTCGGCCGGCCTCGCTCGAGTCTTTATGCAATAATCCTCCAGAGTTACAGGCACGACAATACCTTCCTTTTCGGCTTCCATCTTGGCAGCTTGAGCTTGTTTCCTAGATAAAAAAACATGAACGAAATATATATTGAGAAAATATCTACCTTAATTAATAGTCACAATCTTCCGCCTATCAAATAAAAAATTAAACATATTTTTAAAATACGTTTAATTAAACATATTATTAAAATATGTCTACTTAACATTTCTTTAAGAACTTCTCGATTTTCTAAATATCTTTTTATGGCTGATTAGAAGATACAGAATTTTTTAACAAACATTTCATTCGTAGACCCCAAAATTTTAGAGAACAATTAATCGACTTTAGCGTGAAATACAACGTAATAATTATTATTTATAATGCAAATATTATTATTTCTAATAAATATTCTCCTAATAATAAGTAATTTTATAATTTATAATTATAAAAAAAACAGTTTATATTATAGTTTTCATTTTCGTGTATAATTAAAACAAGCAATGGTTTTCCTAGAATAAGTTTACATGGTCGCTCTAACGTTAAAATATATATATTTACATTGCACCAACATTCTCGTTTCCGCAGTTATCTGTTTCGCACAGTCGTCATATAGTTTTTAGCACGCTATGGATCCGGTAGCGGTACAATTCCAACAAAAATGCGCAAAGTTTCTTACAACCGCGTGATGTCACGCAACGACATCACTAAGGATCTTACCTTATGATATTTTCATATTCTTTGTCTCTCCCTTTGGAATCACGCCAGCGTCTATACATCACGGATGCGTCAACGTTGGCTGGACTATACGTGTTGGGCTCGTTCAACAACGAGATCACTGACAGCAGGATAGTCCTGAGATGAGAGAAACAATCGATTAATAATTCTATAACAGAAATTTCTATCAATATTTTTCCAAATTTCGCATCTTCAGTTTTATGGTTTGGAAATTATTGCTAAATCTTCGACAATTGCAATTTCCATTTGTTCCTCTTATTTTTCTTTTTTTACAGCATTGCGCACCTACCTGACGTTCTGCGTTGGATTCCACCTCTCACAGGGCAATTCGCCGCTTTGTGGATCGTCTACGGGTGGATGTAGAATTGATATGCACAGATCACCATTCTATACAAAGAAAGAAGTAGTCTTTTATACTAATTCTCCTGACATTTAATTCTTCACTTTCGTGTTCGATTACTATAATACGTATAATAAGCCTGTCCTTTGTCGTTGCACTGCATTAAAATTTTTTGTCTCGCTTTCTCTCTCTCTCTTTCTCTCAAACTTCAAATATATATCTATTTCGTTTTAAGTGTACACAAATGCCAACAAGTATACATTAGTAACCACAAAGAGAATAGGCCTTTTATCGCTTTATTTCGCACAATAAGTTGAAATTTACGTGTGTTATTTTCGAAAGTTTACTCGGAAATTGTATTTTTGTGTCTATTCGCTTATATATGCTGAATAACTTATTGTTAAGAAACTATAATATTGTAAGATGAACACAAAGACGCTCGCGTCAACTTAAAAAGATACTCGTATACAAATGTATACGTATACATTTATTTACGATTTCTAAATATATTTATTGTTATTATAATAACAGAAAAAAAAGAGGCCTGCGTGCGTGTGTAAAAATTTGTGCGTGCGACGTTCATTCTGTTGCCCTTTCGCCAACACACCGCGACCTCGGATGCTTCTGGTTCCGCGTTTCTTGTCCCTGAGAAGATATCGTTGCTCGAAGGACGAGACCTCCGGACGTACCTTTACGGTATACGCGAAGAGAAGTCACCGAGGTCACACCGTGATTCTACACCATATTCGGAAAAAAGATATGACTTTTTTGTTTTACCAAAATTATACGTTATCGAACGAAATTATCAATATACGAAAAAGTAAGGTTTTACGCATAGCGAGTAAATAAAAAAAAAAAAAAAAAAAAAAAAAAAAAACATAAGTCTCGGGCTGTTCTATAAACGCGTGCCAAGCATCGTGAAAATCGTAGAGAACTCTGCGCTGCAGACGTTTCCTCACTAAGAATCACTTTTATCTTTCGTCTCTCCTATGTGAAGACGTTCGGCAAGTAGGACAAGGCGCACCGTGGTTTCACCGCGTGGCTCGACTCCGAACACCTCGTAATAAGCCACGAAGGCGAGCGCGAGCTTCTCGAATAAACGCCTGGCACTTGACACGACCGCTCCGACGGCGATAGGCATCGCTGTATCCGCGCATGCATTTGTACAAGCCGACGCGGAATCGCGCGAAGTGTATACCCAGCGAAGGTGACCGGCACTTGAGATCTATATATCGAGAGCTATACACGCAAACAAAATGTGAGAGGAAACGCAAAAAAAAAAAACAATAATAAAATTGACTCCAGAAATAGATTTTGCTTCAGAAACGCAATATTCAGTGGCTTATTATAAAAGCATTCTGCATATATTTTACACACAAAATCAAACAATGACGTTGCCTCTTATTTTTCACGTATACGTGAAACGTCCACCGTATATTTATCGTACGTTACTGGATTTGCGTGCCGACGAAAAAGACCAGGGAAGATTCGCGTATAATGTGCAAGATACACACGCGTACGAATAATATGAATTTCACGACGGGGAAAGTTAGGCTTGAGAAGAGCGAACCGTGTACGTGTTAAGCCATGCGGTATATATCGAGTAAACCTTCTACACGACGGTCTGCTTCGATTGCGAAAGATCTCTACATATTGAAGTAAGTGCCGTTTTCTCGAGAATTTGCGCAATGCGCAGATTATCATCGAAACAAAATTTCACGCGGCGAAGAAAAAGCGAGATAAGTCTCTTCGCGTATGATTAATCTCCTTTGTACGTACAACCGAGAGAACTGCTCTTTTATTACGATCTACCTCGCTGGATGTAGAGATCGTTGATTTTCACTTTACAGTTAGTGACTTCGCTATGATCGCGCGTAATGGAAAAAAAAAAAAAAAAAAAAAGATAAAGACGCCGTGCAGAGTAACAAGATTTGGCTATATTTTGAATTTAAATGTGCTGAAATAAAACGGACGTTTAACGTTAGATATACGAGAAACACCGTATCTGTAAAACAATTAGTTGTATAAAGATAAGCTGTTCGGCTTATCAATCGATTAGCAAACAGTTCAACTGTTTTGGATATTCGAGAGTCGAGATAGGAAGTGAACGGCGATTTAAAGTACTCTCGATTTAAAATATTTGATTTTATATTCGCGTTTCCATACTACACACGTAACCTACGTTATTTTACTGTTAATTCCACCACTACTATACTACAAACACGTCCAGTTTGCAAGCGAGAGAGTAACTGTGAGAGTAACTATTCTACAATTCACAAACTTTAATATCCTCTCTTCGACAGCCCAGACTTGGAAAAAAAAAAAAAAAAAAAGTATTCGTGTTTGCCTCGTTACTCATAACACGTTCTCGTCGTTACCATCCCTATCGACGACGGGCGAGTGGACATGGATGTCCACACGGGCTTTCGACGGTCATTGACTTCGCTTCGCTAGCCGCCGAAGGGTCATATACGACGGACAGCGCGAGCAAGAGATGCGGCGACCGCGAGGTCGATAAGCGTATGGGAATGCGATACTTTCGTACAAACGCAAATGATACCCGCGCCGTAATATGTATATAAGAAGAACGCGGAAATGCATTCCCAATCTCCTGAATACTTGTATCTCAAAAAAACGATACTCCGTGTGATACGGTTCGCGCGAAATGTCACGCTAATCTTAATAACTTGTACACTTATCGGTCACGTGAGAGGAAGTTATAGCTGCGAGGAAATTATATTTTAATATTACCTTACTTTAATCGATATTTTATTTCTCGCGAACGACATTATTATATACGGCGAGCGCGAATGAGCGGCGAAGTTTAAATGTAGTATGTACTTCGGCGTATAACAGACAGGAAACGCGGTCGTGCTTTCGACCTTTTAAAGTGGCGAACAACACGACGATCAGTCCTCGTAAAAACGTCGCGTGTATATTATCAGCAAGCGGTGTGTGCCAACCTTGTCTCTCGTCTCGGCTAGACTCGTTTTCCCGCTAATCGTCGCGCGAATTCGCGCCGTGTCGTCGACGGATATACGGCGGAAGAACAGGAATCTCGGAGTTTTACAAACGTCGAACGCGTGACGACGCGTGTCTCTGCGATAAATATAGTACGGCCGGACGTTCCAAGAATGTGGTGGCGGTGTGATACGTCAATATGAATGCAACCTCGGCGACGAGAGCTACACTACGCAACGCGCAATTTTTCGTGTTGGCTCTTTTTACTTTCTTTTTTTTCTCTCTCCCTCTTTCCCGTCCGTTCGCCCGGTTGCGTCTCGATGGTAACGACGGCCCGGGGTTTCGGGACGGACCGAGTGGTTTCACAAGCGCTGAAAGTGACGATGTAAAAGCTGATGGTTGTAAAAGCTATGGCGACGGAGGGTGGAAGATAAAGAGAGGCGGACAGAGAGAGAGAGCGGGACGGTCGTTATACAGCGAGGGGCGGTGAGAGAGCGGGGAACGGATGAACGGAAAAGGGACGCAAGGGAGGATACGCACGTACGAGAGAAAAGGGTCGAAGGGGGGGGGGAGAGAGAGAGAGAGAGAGAGAGCACGCGGGGAATCGATAGTCTCGTATATATTCACTCACCTCGTACACATTCGGATGCCAAACTTTTGTCATGAAACGAATGCTCGGTGGACTGTACGGATAATCCGGTGGGAACTTCATGTGTGCCTGTAACATAACGAATCAAGCTTCGTAAAGACGTGTTCTCGACATTCGGCTCTCTGGCTTCGGGTCGTCGAGACGCCCACGCGTAGTCTACCCGACACGCGTCTTCACTTACCTATATCTATACACGTATCGACGTGGATCGAAACCGTTATAATTTCAGCGAGTTCAATATCCAACGCTACGCGCAACATGCACGTGCGGAAAAAATGTATCTTGCGCTAATATAAAAACCGTCGGTTCTACATTCTCACGATCAACGTGGGAAATTTTCCCGCGTATGCGCGTACAGAGTGCCAAAATTAGCGAACCCACCGAAGGTATACCGGTTTTAGGATCTACTTGTTTATGCGAGCCCTCGAAAAACTACCGCAAACTTCTTCGCGCTGCGAGCTTATGCTTTTTGATCCAATTTCACACATAAACTTTCTGATCTATTATTTATAACGATGTATGTACGAAGTTTGAAATTGGTTAATGGCTATATACAGTAACTTGTTTCTTACATTTTGCCAAAAAAAAAAATTGCGCGGGCTCTGAAATTGATGAAAAGAAAATTAACGCTCTAGAAATTAATCACTTTAGACGACCTGTAAATAAATATACATCGGAGTTCTCCGATGCTGCGAAAGTGGAGCAACATGGCCGTTTAGAACGTAGCCGAGATAACGAGACAAGATGTAAAATCGGAGCGCAGGCTTCGACGTCGATAAGATCCGACATTTCGATCGGGTCTGAAATCTCCGAGGGAATCTGCGACGATATCGATTTCTATTCCAAAGCGTGAAAGGGGTGTCTGGTTGTTCGATGCAGGCTTCGTCGTCGGGGACGCTATATTGATCGCGACCTGGTCATGGCCCAAATATCCACCTCGTCCTCCGGGATAACCGCGTTCTAGAATTAACCTACTTTCTACCGACTACACGCTTACGGTGTCACGAAAATTCTACTCGGACTGATTCGCGTTGCTTCACGTGTAGTCGCAAATTGTCTCGTTGTAGTTTCCAACAACAATTTTTGTTACAGCCAGTTTTACGAAACTGCTTATTCGACTACAACAGAATTGCTGGCTCGTGGTGCGAAAAAAAGGTTCCTTTTTGTTCTATCTTTTTAATGTACTTTCTATCTATCTTCGTAATGTGACAATTAATAATGCACGAAAAGAGAAAGCACCAAAAGATTTGCTGACGTATCTAAAAATTTAAACAGATCTGAAAATAATTTTGTTGGACCATCAAAGTAATTACATAAGAATCTCAAGCATGATGAGCACTACAAAATGTCTAACAATCATTTTAAGTCTGTATAATCCAATAAAATTAATAATAAAATTGACTGTGTGTGTGTGTAAAACGAAGTAAAGAGTCGGCGCGGTAATTTGAGCGTAATACAAATTATTATTATCACATTAATCACACGATGTCAAATTATATACAATTACACAACACCGCTTTACCAACAAAATTATTTTCAGATCTCTATCTAGCTGTAAATATTTTAACAAAACTGTCCTTTTCGTTCAACTTTTGCTATTAATTTTGTTTTATAAAAAATGAATTTTTTCTGTAATTCTTATTTTTTGACAATCGACTTTCATTGAAATAAATAAACGCAGGATACGAATCAAGTTTTCCAACGTGATACCGCGATATTGATTGCGACTATCAGCATGCGATCTTATATGCCACTGTCTCAGGTAATATTCCGTGAATTATGTCTCCAATACAAGCTTTCTATTTCTATAGAAAATTTTTACTAGAATTTTTACATATCGTAATAACTATTCGTCAGAAAACCGCTTTTGCAGAAGAAAGATTATAAATTGTGTGGAATTTTGCAGGTTGCTCCGGAATGGAGCTATCATCACGACGTCTTTCGTCGCAACTCCACCGTGTGACCTACAAATTTTCGCGACCTACTTCGACAATAAGCAACTGTGGTCATCGTAACGCGACGTTGTGTAACGTGAGCTAGGCGACAACTTTTAAAACTATCGAATCGTGTCACGTCTGGTCAGGCATTTTTGTAAATGAGACTATCGTGCGGTCTATTCTATTCTTAGCTCACAAATGAAATTAAAAGTCGATAATAATATTTTATTCAAAATCTAATTATCCGATTTTAATCTCTCTTTGGTAAATCTTTTTATATATAATATTATAAGCTATAAGATAAATTCTTTCAAATTTATTAATTTCACAGATAGAATTGTCACATCTCGCGTGTGCGTCTCTATACTTTATCTCAGATAAAGTCGGTAACTTGTAAAAGTTTGTCATATTTTCTTTCGTAATAATCAAGTTTTTTTCGCGTAATGAATCACGAGAAAAAAGGAAAAGATGACAATAGCTTTTAGCTTTCTCTACGTGCGTAAGATAACAACTAATACTTTTCCTTTTAGACTCCGAACAAATCGACAACCGCAACTTCTTTTTAAAGATTTGCGGTATATCGACGGTATCGATTCCACAGCCGTATTTATCGCGAAAAGTTCTGGTACTCTCGCGAAGCGGGATGTCCGCCATCTCTTCACGAGGTGAAAGGATCAAGTCTGATCGAGACGGACTTCGTGGAAAATGAAATGGCGAAGTTGCTGCGTCTCGAAAATCGTGAGCTCGTCGGATAACGGATCGATTTTTCGTGCACCGACAAGACGAACCGGCTCACGATCGTCTTAGCGGAATGAGATTAGGTGAAAGTTGGTCGGTATAAAGGCCTGCATGCACCAGGAATAGAATCGAGAGACAATGCTCGATGGCATTTTATGTAACTTGGCAACCGTATATCGGCTACCTTTTACCGAGTCGTGCATAAATTTTGATCAAGGGACGGACGGGGGGAACCCCTCTCGATAAGTGGAACGTGATTTTGCGAGAAGATCGCCAGGATCGTCATTACGACCGAAAGAATATACGAGACACTCGATATATCCGTCGTCGGGTGTGCTATTAAAACGCGAGAGAGACATTGATATTTAGGTATCGCGTGCCAACATACGCACATTTCAAATACACAATCATAAATCCAAGTCAAATTGGAATATTCCGCTTCGTTTTAAAAGGCAGCGATCATTAAAAATGAATGAAGGAGGCGTGATCCGATCAGATCATTGCATACGCAATTCATTCAGCGTTCCGTTTCGTATCATCGATACTTATTACGACGCAAAATGTTCTTTTGCGACTTTGATAAACCTCGTTCCGTTATAGTTTACGTTGCTATATACTTCCAGCGTTCTGTGCGAACGAAATGAAATTTATCTCGAGCTAAATAAGACACGCACAAAGTTTTGTACATATTTATGAAACTTGATCCGTAAAACTAAAACCCGAAACAATTAAATTAATCCCGCCGTTTGGTCCTCGGGGAAGATTCGTGACGGGAAAAATTGACTTCAAACCGACCGGAAGCAGTCCATAAATAAAAGGAAGAGAAACTTGGTATAGCCCTCTAGGACAATGAGACCGATAGTACGTAAAGTTATTCATTCACGAAGATACCTCAAACGCAGCGTAAGATGAAAGCGATTGTTTACCTGAGCACGGCGCAACGCGAGCATTCACCGATTAAGGTCTAACGCGATTACGGTAAAATGGATAACAGATTAATCCAGGAGCGCTTCGAGCGGAGCAGTGGACGCAGTCTTTCGAAATAACCACGCGGAGGGATTTACATGCGCAAGGTGTGTACACGGTTTGCAAGAAACGCCGCCGCGCTCGTTATTGTCGGTTACGTTGTGGGAAGATACGTTGCGTTACGTGAATAGGCGTTCACTCGTTCACGACGAGGCAGAGAGTGGTTTAGAAAGCGGACGCGGGACATGCAAAAACTCTTGGTAGCCGCGGCGGCGGCGGCGGCAATGACAGAACTCATTTTACAGTCTGCCGTTTAACCTGGCTGAGCATTAAAGCCTCTCCTCTTTACCTCCTGGATCGCGCTGACGTTCATCACGTCAGAAGTGAAAAATCACTTCGATCTGCATGCATTCTCACGTTCCATTACATTTTTCACCGTCCAACGTGACGTTTCTAAATGTGACTTTAAGAGGAAATATATAGAATATCGATCGCTGTATTGCAGATCTGACGAAAAAGCCAAATTATTATCTGATTAACACTGTTATTATTAATATCTAACTTTATTAGATATCAATGCAAGAATATAATCAATCTTCGGCGGCTAAGAGGAAGATAATATAGACGTATATAAGCCAGCATTGTCATCAGCCGGCCAAGGTAGTCTCAATGACTCGCGTGTGATTGTCAGAATTCACTTGGCAGGAAAAACGCTTTAGTTTCTGAGATAAACATTGGCTCAAGGAAAGGAAACAAGGCGCTCGAGCTGTATGCGGCGACGCGAAATTCCGCATTGTCACACGTGCAAACATTTGGCGACGATAAAACGGAGATCATTCGAATCGTTTCATTATCGAGTTAATTATAGACGTCGATTGATGTTTCCACATTAGATCATTGTTGTCTCCTCGTCTAACAAACTCGAGTATACAATGCATACAATGTGACAAAGAAAATTATCTAAAAAAACTTGTGTTTCGAAAAATATTTATTTCCTAAAATTCAACAGACAAACAGTCAGATAAATAACTTATTTTTAGAATTGACTATAAAACGTAAATATCTGATTTACGTTATTGAATACAAATTATTGAGCCACAATATTTTCAAAAACGCAGTCCCGATGTAAACAATCTACCCTAGCTACGCATTTAGACTGCCGTCTTTAATTTAAAAATAATTTTCTCTAATTAGACACAAACATGTACATTTATCTTCTCGATTTAAATGTATAGTTGGCTGTATATTAATCATTTTTGAATCCAATATTTAACTAGCAGTAATCTTTGCGATTAGCAGGTATCACATTATACGTCACGTTCATTTAAACGCTTTCTAGCGTTTCCAGTATCAGAATTATCAGATATTCTCAAAGTATTAGCAAAGTAAAATAGATATACGACATATTGCGAATGCATGTTCGCGATATCACGCGGCGATAAGTATTCCACACCACATTATACCAAGAATAGAATCCGTGCTCCGTACTTTGTATACATATGGATTTACTGGCAAACTTAAACGGTAGTCAATAGCGTCGGGCCTGCACTATGCGCCAAGTTAAGGTTACGCGTTATCCGCGTTTTAACGTAAAATGTGGAATAAAATGTACATATATATATATATGTGTCGCCGTGCGACATGTTTTAAAAGGCGCAAAGCTCGCACAAAGACCCATTGTTTATTTTACGGATAAAGCGGATAAGGAGGACCGTTTTCGCGTGGTAAAACGAAATCTGCTGCTCCGCGAAATACCGCTCGATTAAACTCTCGGGGCGACCGAGAGTGGGGAAAAACGGGACGCGACGTAGACAAGCGGCGGACGACATAACCAAGAAGGGGCGCTAAGCGTATAAACGCGTAGATGACACCGTCGATATCGCGCCGTTGCTCGGCGCGACTCGTGTAGATACACACGCGCCTCACACCGTATGCACACCGTAAACAGCACAGAGGGGCACAGAGAGCGGGGTACCTTGAAATATCCGCCCTGGTAGAGAGTGTCGGGCGGACCGAAGATCGCGACTTCCCACTCGAACATGTTGTCCTCGTTGACCAGCTTGACGCGGAAGCCCTCGACGGGCTCCTCCTGTAGGCTCTTGTACTCCAGGGCGAGCGCCCGTAACGCGCTGCTCGTTGGCTGTGCCATGTCTTCACTCTCTCTCTCTCTCTCTCTCTCTCTCGTTCTCTCTCTCTCTCTCTCTCTTCGCTCTCTCTCTCTCTCTCTCTCTCTCGCTCTCGCTCTCTCTCTCTCTCGCTCTCTATGTGCGATGTATCACAATATAGCTATCACACTGTGCGAGCGGGCGAGAACGTCCCGATCCTGTCGCGATGTTAGGTAGTCACGGTCTGGGAACGAGCGTCTCCCACGCGTGAAACCTTATACGGCCGAGCGGGATGAAAATCGGGATTGCACCCGGAATTGAAATAGCGAGATCCGGTATGAGACGCAAATCAAGACGACGGCACACACGCGAGCGGGTCCGCGCGACTCCTCCGTCGCACGCAGAATCGTCCGCGGAAACGCGCACGCAGCAGTCCTTCTCACGCGCGCGTATACGGCGAACAAAGGTGCGCGAGCGGAGCCGCGTTGCCGTAAACGTGCGACGACGGAAAGTTGCGCGCGAGAGAAAGATGCCCCTCTCCGAGTCAACAACACAACAGCATTCCCGACAACGGCGACGGCGAAGACGATAGGCGACGATGACGATGACGATGACGGCGACGGACGCACACGCACGTCTATCCGCCGCGAAAGTCTAACAAAACAGCTGACGTACTCTCCTTGCGTCAGCGATCTGACCGTCGCGCACGCGCGCGATCGTCCGCTCTCCTCTCGACTCCTCTCTCGGCCGGAATCCCTCTCGATTTAAAAACCACCTTCGAGGGAGCCGCGATTAAGATTTCTCGGAAAGAGCGAGCGCGAGACGTTCGCAAACGGCAATTACTTGCGCTGCGCGAATGAATAACCTTATTTAATTAAACAATCGAAATCTAATTCAATTAAAAGATGGAAGAGAGAGAGATCAGGAATAATATATCCCGCTTTCTCTCTCACATTAAAAACCGAGTATCCGCAATCGGGATGTAAAACTTTGCCTCTTGATAGGCCCCGTTATATTCTCATTCGATCCTTCTTGGAATTGCAAGAGACTTGTACGGACCTGTTTGCTCGGAAAGTGCATTAATTTTAATTTAATTAAAAACGACCAGGGGAAAAAGAAACTAAGTTAAAAAAAAAATGGACGCGTTTTCATTACGTTACACGCGGAGCCTTACTTCCAGAACCTTCCTCGATATTATTAGAACGTTCACCTCGCAGATCAGATCGCGTGGTGAACGGGGAGTTTCCAACGAGCGAGCGTACGAAGGAGTGTTCTAAAAGATGACTGGTCAGATGGTAACTGAAGAGACCAGTCAGCGTACACGTGAAGAATGCAACCACTCGCGAGGGACTAATCGAATTGATCGACCCGAATGCGTACACCAATCACACGCGATCCGTTCTCCAACGCTGCGCGTCTCTGTCGCGTTTTCTGGACGAAGTCGACGAGCATGCAGAACGTGAAAGATTAAACCAGGTGCGGCTAGGTCAAAGTGATGCTCGAGATTACTCGAAATGTTCTAACCTTTGACTCCCGAATATATACCCAGTATGTGTTACTTGAAAAAAGAACAAGCGATTTCTCTTCTGTTGGTGATGTCACACAATTGAGAATTTAGTATTATATAATATAAATATAATTTTCGCTTATTTAATTATTTTTGCTAAATCGACTTGTATTTGTATTTATATAAAAGCTCCTTATCTTCTTATACCTTATTTTCCGCTTTTCTTTTGAAATTTAGAAATGTGTTCTATTTCAAATGTAATCATCGGATTGCAAGTGAAGTTGAAAGCATAAATAATTTACTACTTTTGAAAACTTTACGCAATGTTGTCTGCCAGGTGTAAAGTTACGGGGTATAAATAAGATTCGAGAATTGATTATATATGTTAAAATTGTTTAATACTTAAATCGTTCGTGTTTTAAAGCTAGTTTAATATACCAGTTTCATAACAGATCAATACGTTTGAGAGCGCGTATTCCGCGCTTCACACGTATCCGAAATAATCATTTTATCTTTTTTATGACATAAAAAATATTTCGTGATTTCTACTTCAATGAATAAATACATAAGAGAATATCCTCTTTTATCCAATACTTCATGTAAAATTTTGCTGATTCACAAGATTATGTAAAATTTAATAGCATATCATTTATCACTTATCGAAAGCATCCTATACATATATCGTGATACATGAATATATAGTAAGAAATATATCTGTGAGTATATATGTGTGTGTTATATGAAATAGAGGACGTCCCGACCACTGACGAGCAATCTCTCTACTAACTGCGTACTACAACACAAAAAAGGCAGAGCCGGCGTCAGTTATCAACAAGGAATTTGAAGTCTTCGAAAAATGTCTGAAATAAATCCAGAAGTGTTCAAAGTATTTGGCTTTTGGAGTGGCATTCTAGTTCTAAAGATGCTGGCGATGGTGCCGTTAACTGCACGACAACGATTTCGAAAACACGTGAGTGCTAAGATTCTAGATAAAATAATCTCATATTAGGATCATGATCTTTTTCATTAAAGACTATATATAGATATAGAATAGATGTCTATATACTATTTGAATATGATAAAAGTTTCTAATTAAATCGTTATAAATATTTTTTTTTATTTTGAGGTCGATTGTTATTAAACGCTGAAACAGGAAATAATTGAAAAATATTTGAATTCTTAAAAATTATGGGAATATTCTTCTCGTCTATATATATTATGCATATATTTTTCCTTAATTAAATTAATAAAGAGACTGATTTTGATATACTTTCTAAAATCTTTAGGTCTCACTCGAAAAAGTGAAATTTCACTTCTAAAGATTGAAAATTAAGACTTTTTTTTCAAAACTAGCTCAATTTTCACTCTTTAGAGTAACATTCTATTCTAAAGAATTTATAGAGAATTATTTATACTGTTTAGCGTTACGTCAGAATTTATTAACTAAAATAAAACTGATTTGAAATGAATTGTTGTAGGTACTGGTAAGTCCAGAAGATACTTTCTTCAACACTAAAGGCAAAGCTGTTTACAATGATCCAGATGTGGAGCGTGTACGCAGAGCACACTTGAACGATCTCGAGAATGTTCTCCCTTGGTTCATAATCACGTACTTCTGGCTGGGAACAGGACCTTCGCCATGGTTGGCCAAAACCTTGATACAAACCTTTGTACTGTCTCGTATAGGTCACACTCTGTCGTACGTAATTTTTCAACAACAACCTCTGAGAGCGGCAACTTTTACTGTGGCACTTGGAGTTACAGGTTACGAATTATTTAAGACATTATTGTACTATTATTAATTTTTACATAAATCGTGCAATAAGCATATCTATAGCTCTGTACGACATAACATTCTTTTAATATTTAAAGATCAAAACAATTTTCGTTATGTACATATCTACCGAGAAATATTGTATAGCTAAAGATATATTGTATGAAAATGTAATACAATATAGATATATATATGTATGTTTTTATAGAAGAAACTTAAGTGTTATTATATTAAATGTACGATATTTTTATTAATATAGAATAAACAGAAAACTTTATTTTCGTTTTAATAACGACATTAATGACGTTATATGTCAGAATTAAACATATTAATATTTTTTCCTGTAACTTATATGTCCATTTATATCATGTATAAAGAGAAAAATTATTTTTAAAAATTAGAATCTTTAAGTAAAAACCAATTTTCATTCGGTTCTGAAAATTCTTTACTCAGATATGTTTTTTTTTTAATATTTGGCATTATATTATTGTTCTAGAATTCAGTTTTGGTAAGATTTTTTGTTTCATCTAAAATTTTTGAATATAAAAATAAGTTATAATTAACGATAAAAATGTAAGATAAAAAACTATAATTATAAATAGTGTTATGGATCAAAAGGTATTATCAATTAATTAAACACCGCAACAACACAAACTCTTCTGCCTCTTATTTCTGCCATTAACAGGTTTCTTAAAGATTTATATTTGATACATTGATTATATATACATATATTTGCGCAATTATTTCCTGTGACCACTCCTAACGTCTGATTTTTGTATTTAATATTTATTATTCTATTAATTAAAAGGAGTCCATAAGTTATTTGTTTAATTTATTTATTAGTTTTCTAGATATTTATGAATTTATAAAAACGTTAATAATACTGAAATAATATGTAGAATACGATTTAATGATGAGTATCAAGAAAAATAAATGCTATACCTTTTTTCAAGATCTTGTTATATATATAAAAAGGTGTTAAAGATTCTTATTAGAAAATCAATCTTTTTACTTGAAAAAATTATAAATTTATTTTATCTTTAATAGCACATATGGATTTCTTTCTCTGTAAAATCTGTACGTTTAGGATATTTTCAACCGCGCAAGCGTTTTAACATTTCGAAAGCGCATACGCGAACTTTATCGTACGTGGTCGTCATGACGGCACCGCGACGCCGACAAACGCGGGAACGTCAGACGTCGCGATGCGTCTGTGACGTGCTAGTCGTGGTCGTCGGTGCCGCGTCATTCGACGATCGACTATCATGCCTTGATCTGCATCTTCGCCGCGTTAATCGCTAGATTAACGTAACTCTTAATTTTCGCGGTGTGACTTAATATGTGTTAATGCAAAATGTTTAATTATAAACGTTTACAAAAACCAGTAATCACTGCTGAATCTTCTTGCGTGATGAGGATCGATAGGTCAGAAGCGTAGAGTGATCAAGAAACACGATAACAGGTGGGTGTAATTTTCTATAATCTTATGTAAATAATAATGTAATAGATAAAAAACCTGCATGATAAATGAAAAGTTTTAATTATAAGGATGTAAATGATTGACTTTTAAAATACGCCATGTATCTTACATTTTTTTAATCGCTCGACATATTTTGCCTCAAATTATATATATCTAATTTTTTATTCTACACATAATTTTATCAAGTTGATCATATTTTTTTTAACGCAACATGCATAAAAGTGCATTGTGTGGAAAATAAGCAGAATTCAGGTACCGCAGCGACTGAAGAATGCGGGAGAAATTCCTTATCTTATATCCATGCAATTTTCTCCTTTGTTCCGACGACAAACACGGATCCCCGAGTTACACGCGAATAGAATCAAGCTCGAGCAGGTCATTCCTGTACCTGCACCTCGATTTCCGTGAGGATCATACTTTTTTCTTTCAGCGTGAACAGAAAAGCCAGCTGAACGATTCTTTCTCACGTGCAACGATTTGCATAGGATGGTACTTCTATCAAGGAGTATGTCTTAGGGAAGATTGAAATAAGTTTCCAACTTCTTTATGTTGACAATTTCTTAAAAGATTCGCTAAAAATTAAATCTGTTTTCTCTTAGTTAGCCACATCACTTGTATTAAAAATTAATTAAGAACACATAAAGGTTACCTAACAACCTCATACATAATCCAATTTCAAGCGGCTTAAAAATCGAGAGATACATATTCTTTCTTACAGAAAATTAAGATGTATATTAATTACAATAATTATTTCAATTTTACACATCTATATTATTAATAATTATATATTATTTTTATAAACTCCTAAATTAACTCCTTTTAAATTAACAACGTGTTTTTAGTTCGTTGACATATTTTCTAGCGCCCGTAATACCGTAACGTGTTCGTCAACAGTGTATCGATGTTTGTCTACTTTCCGGAGCTTTAGACGTAATGAAATTTTCTCACGAACGATGCATTTGGACAGAGTACATGTAGAAAAGTTCCTTAGTTAAAAGTCTTCACATTCTCTAATTAAAAATCTCCGCGTTTCATGGGACGGACTATCGATTGCACAATTAATTAACATTCCTATGGATGCAAGAATATTCATCGTTTTACTTTATTTTTATAATATAGTACTTTACCGCACGATCTTTCGCGTACCGTGTAGCATTGTGTGATACGATTATGATTTAAAATCATAACTCATATGTATATATGTTTGTGTATGTATGAGTGTACTACATACCGCTGTTAATATGCAATGATAACGCTAATGTGAATAGACAAATCTCTTCATTGTTTCATCAATACTAGCCGTGGTAACCACATCTAGGACATATAGACTGCACACGACATGCAAACATATACGCATCTGTGTTACTTCAAAGATGTACATACATTTTATGAGAGACATTTTGAATGATGAAAAAACAATTCGATTCGTGCACGGGCAGTTAATTAAGTCACTTTAACTCAAGATTTCATGAAATTCTGACGAATATTAAAAACACAAATTATAAAACTTGTTTATGTATATTCAAAACGAACCATTGTAACGCTGCAGGGTTTTTGTAAATTTAACCCGTTTAAAAATTATATTAGCTTTTCATAAAACGCATATTACAAAGAAATTAACTGTTTTTTTTTTTTAGTCTTGTTGTAATTTCAACTTATTTTTCTGTTTAAAGAGGCGACTTTTTCTACAAAAAGCTAATTTATCCTGTGATATACACACGTAATTACCGATCACATTCTATTGTCCAAAGATCGGTTGGATACCTTTATTGAATATTGCAAATATTAATTAATTGATGACGTTATACTATGCAAGCGGCATGCACGTGATTACAAAGCGGTGTATCGATCACGTATTGGTCCCTAAAGGCAGTTTAAACACAAGGGACTCTAAGCGTTCACCGGGTGCATGCCTGCGGCGTACGAGAGATAGATGCACGCGGTTATCGATAATCGTGTCAATTTTCCGTGTCGCGTGGTCACGCCTTATACGTGCGTGCCATCCGAAATTGCATTTCTCTGTATCGGCTGTCACAGCGAACGACGCGCACCGGTGGCTATGATTCAATTTGTACCGGGATTAGTACCAAGATTCTAATCACGTTTGAGGTGGGTGCGCTTTCACCCTTTACACGCTGCGGAACGGCCGATAAATCTGCTCGTTGCCAAGGTTGTTTGTTATCAAAGTGAAGTGAGTTGTCCTACGTTTTTTCGCAACTAAATTGATTTAATTACACAATCAGAGATGTATACATGTATATATTCCTACACTGAGACTAAGAACAGTTTTCTTTTTTATTCTTTTCTTCTTTCTGAAATTCTTTTTATGTAAACTTTTCAAAAACGAATTTCTTAAATTTACAAATTAGAAAAGGAATTTAGATTACATAGATAATAAGAGCAATGATAAGAGAACATAAATCGAGAACCACTGTTTTAGTGTCACGGTCGTATATGTGACGGGATATGCTCTCGTTGTATTGTACTTACAAGCACACGCCAGAACACTTTGGCTCGGAGTTACTCTCAGATATTTATCACTGTATTCCCTGCAGAGACTCTTGACGCCCGATAGAGGAACGAAACGGCTCGTGACATCATAGGCTGCAAATGCTGTATATTCGTGGCTTATATCCCTGCCCAGTCGACCCCGACGCGAAATTCGTATGACCGCGTTTGGAGTGTATGTCTACACAATCAGGACGTATGAAAACTTCGTACTTGAAAGCCTGTAGGTAATCCTTGGGAGAGAAGGCTCAGTGATGTACGCGAGCGTTTTGAATTGCGTGTAAAAAGGTACCGTAGAATTCTGATGCTTGCAGCTCGCCCTTGAAAGAAAGGTTAAATCACGTAGATACATATAAAGAGTACGTCGGCCAAAAGAAAAACGAACGATCCGAAGGATTTCACGAGGCGGATCATAATGCACCGGAACAGTACATCCATTGTAACTGTAATGCAGCATGATTACACGTGCGCATAAATAACGATGTATAGTTTCACGACCGATGACTTCATGGTGCCTATATAACTCGCGTTATTTAATGATACGGTCGTTTCGCTTAGACATTACAAGCAGACGTGAACTTTAACGTTTAAAACCTGTGTCTGAATCACGAAAGAAACTGAAGATTCTAATAAACTATGAATATACTATATACAATAAATAACAAAGGCAGCATCGTGTAGTCCCGCAATTTTGCGTCAAGTTCCGAGTTGCTGTACTTCTAGAATATATAATGTCAATTATTAGCACCTGTAAAAAATTTAGAGACTATATATGATAAATTCGAAGCACCCCTAATCACTGGAAGGGCTTCACTTTTCAAGACGCGCCGTCTAGTTCTCTCTGACGTCGACGTAACGACGCGTCAGCGAGGAGGTCAGGCTGCATCGCTTCGTCTTAGGAGCGCAATTACAAAAGTTTCCCTTTTAACGTTAATTAATGAGAGAGTCCGCCGTACCGTACTTCATTATGGCGCTATCCATTACGGAGGTGGCCTCTTCTCTTAAGTTGGGCATGCTTTCAATTCTCCCCCGGGAGAAAGACCGTGCCAAACTGATTTACGAAGAGCGATCGACTTTTTCTTTAACTTGCATAAAATTAGCCCCGTTAACCATAAGCATCCGCCACGGTTCGTCTCCTTTTGCGAAATGCGCAATTTCGATACGCGGAGCACGCGAGCCGATATTTCGCGAAATCAGTCGCTGATTAAGGTATCCTCTGTCGCGAGCCACTATCTGGAATTCGATCGCGTCCTTCTCGATAAAAAAAAAAAGACGTAAGTGGACCAATACGTGTTTTCAGGCTACAAAGAATGAATAATCACATATATGCGCACACGACTCCGTACGGTCCGAGAAAGGTCAAGAATAATTTGCAAAGAATCAGAAATGGCTTTAAGGCTTCTTGTAACTCTAAGCTGCAAAGGTAATGCAGCGCTGTGATTTGCAAAATAATGTTAATCCATCTTTAACCGTTAGAGTTCATCAATACATTCGCGTGCGAAGCTATAAGGTCGGCGAAAATTCCATTAGCTCGAAAAATACGGAAAAAAATGATAACAGTAACGTTTATAGTGTCACCTCGAATGACACATACAGAAACATTCGCTCACACAGTACACGGATGACGCGTTCAATCGCGGTTACCGGTTCGCCTACAGATTTCGACGCATTCGCCAAATACGGCGTATTGAAGTCGAATCCGAGAAGCCGCACGCCGTCTGGTTTTCTACCCACGCCACGCTGTCTCTTTTTACGGGAAATATGAACAAACGGGCGTGGTGCTTTCGCTCTTTAAGTAAATTGGTCCACGGATGCGCTGCGCTCGTGATAGTTATCGAATTATAGTTTAGAAAATGTTGATGTACATTAAAATTTAAAAAATAAAAATCTGATGTAGATCATAATTTAAAAACAGATTTGACTTTTAGATAAACGGCTGTAACGCGAATAGACACGAGGGACCGGTTGAATTACGGTTACCGTTAGGTGAGGTTAGTGAAAAGGTTACCATAAGTAAATTAATTCATACTTCAATTCAATTGTTACTATAGTCGTCTGCATCTCTTCCTGTAGCATAGAATAGATCCCGACGTTATTTATCATATGGCATCAACCCCGACTGGGACTATATTGCTTAACAATAGCATCTTCATCCATGTAATAACGCGTTTTATTGTGTATATGCCATAAAGAGCAAACGTTCATTAAAGTTAATAAACATCTTTGGATATAAGTGTACGTAAACATTTTTTTCTTAAACGAATGAGACACACAACATCGTTAACGCCCACGAATGGATTTTACATCTTGAAGTAAGTGTTAATATTTCAATCAAATAAAAAAATTATTCACCCGATTTATTTCCAAGGACATACATAACAGCAGGAAACAAATATTGCACAAGCATAAATGGTTTAAGTATTTCTGCTAACAACGTGTTTCTTTTTTTATTTTTTTTAAATGTGTAAAGCATTTTTTTTCACTTAATATATGCAATTGGCTTTACAATTGATTTATAATTCGTTTATAATCTCAACAATGATTTCCGTCTTACCAAGTTTTTATCTTGAATTAATGTCTATCGATAATAATCAATAACAATAAAAAATACTTAACATTTTCTAATCGGAGGTTTTATTACAGGTCATAATTATATACCGTTATTTCTATATAAATTGTAATTATATAAAGAAATGAAGTAACTAAAACTTTTTATATCAAGTTTTTTATTTTTTATCAGACCGTGTCATAATCCGATATACAATAACGATAACGATAACGATAATGGTAACGAGAAAATATAAAAGTAATAAAATAATTTATAATAATTATTCTAAGAAGTATATTATTTGCAAATTAGAAACAATGAGTAAATTGGCGATTGGGAATAAGAGCGTAAACATATATTATTATTTAATTTATTATTATTATACAATATATTATTTGAATCAAGAAAGAATCCATCCATTCCTTATAAACGAATTGATTTATCAACCAAACGATTACCTTTTTAAAAATCATGACTTGTTAAGAGAGTCTCATTGAAATAACTAACTGTCTCAATCGTATTTGTAACAATAAATAATAGACATTGGTGACACTTGTTAGTCCGGGAGGAAACACCGGCTACGATCGTCGTCGTACAGTTTTGTCGTCTACGTCATCGCTCGGTTTACGCCGTGGCATCACGATGGACCGGTTCTGCGAAGGTGCCCCCCCACCGATTTCTCTGTCGCGCTCGCGATGCTCAGGGTTCACAATTTTTCTCGCTGTAAAATGTTGAAAGAAAGAACCTGCGTGTCGTTATGTATGAATCATTGTGCGAAACTTTTATAGAAATAAGTATCAAGATGAAACTTTCGATTCGCGCGTAGGATAACACGCCTTTATAGGACTTCCTCGTCTTTCATCCTCCATTTCTTATACTTTTACCATGCAATTTAATTCGATACAGTATATGTTACATGGGCTGCTGTTAATTATATTACAATTTTTCGTTTGTCGTCATATGTGTTTGGATCTCTAGTAAAAAAAAAGAAATAATATTATACGCAAAAAAAGGAATAACGAAAGTTAATCGTAATAAAGTTCAATTGTATTTAAATGCGCGTGAAAACGCAAAATGCGTTTTACACAAGTCCATCTAGGTTGGAATCTAGTTTGGAATTTTATTCGCATAATATGAGAGATCAACAGGTGCACGCATGTACACTAATACAGGAACGAGAAAAAGACCACATCCTGCGTTTACGTGTGTGTTACGTAACGCGTACACCGATGCGTATACGCGCACACGTGCACGTAGAGCGCGGCTACATTCATGAGTTAATGTAACGTTAAATACCACTGAGTAATGCTCATTGCGCGCAATGGAAAGTAAAATAGGAGAAGTAATTGCGACATGTTATTTTGCTTCATCACACTTCACGTTAAAATTCGGCAATACGTTCATGTGTGTGTGAATATGTATATCTAACAATAAGAGTATAAAGTATCAGAGAATGCTTCACGCAAAGAACGAAAAAAAGATCTCTCTTCTCAAACCTTTAATATTGAAATGTTATCCGTACTTATTTTTCGGCGTCGTGTACAAGTGTTGGAATTCGACATTGACATATAAAAGTATTTACGGCATATGCTATCGCTGTGCAAATATGTGCACGATAAAGAGAAGTCGTAGATAAGCTATGAGAGGAAGAAAGACGTACTCTAATCTGGCAGTAATAACATAAGCAATACACCTGGTTGAGACGGTAGCCGCGCGACGTACATATGTACGTGCGCATGTACGCGCGTGTTCACGGGTCACGCATTCTTACACGCGTTGCTGGTCGTGAACAATACGTCCCACGCCACAAGCGTGTGGGACACACGAGGATGGGTGGCAACGTCCCACGCTGAACGAATGGGACACTCGGTACGGACGAACGTACAGAGGCTTCGTCACGTCGCGGAAAGTAGGGGTGCCGCGGTGTTCTCCAGGCATAAAAGATCCATGGTTGGTGTATGTCGGCGACGAGAAAGAGAGAGAGAGAGAGGAACGGAGAGGAACGGTGGAAAACCGTGTGGTCACCTAGACTAGCGACGGCGAGTAACCGCCGATGCCACATCGACTCGCGATATCGGACCGAAAACATCGGTTCGCATCTCTCACAATCACAGATTTTGGAGCCGGCGTTTAGTATACCGAGTGATCAAAGAGAAAGACAGAGTTTTGGAATTTATACGCGAGTAAGAAGAAACACGCGCGAAGCTCGTGCATATATCTGACGCGGGCGAGAAAGTTCCGAGGATCATACAGAAGAAACGAGTTTGTAAACGAGGCCGGTCACAGCCGAGCTTCAGTTCGTCTGGGCGACTCGAAGAGTGGCGCGAGCGCGTGCGAGCGAGCGGTATAATGTAGTTAAAACCGAGTGCCGACGATAAACGGTTGTGCGCCGGCGATAACAGAGAACTTTTTTATATTTAAAATTTTAAGATCGGGGGCAAAGTTGCAGTGATTGAAAAATTAACATATTCGGCAGTGAGTGCGCGTTTTAAAAACATTCTCGGTTTTTATCGTATTTACAACGATCATACACGAGTCCCTCGCGTCTGTGTGAAGTTATATCGTCGAGTAATCGAGCTGTAGAGGCAACTGAAAACACGTCGCGATGACTATTCACAAAAAAGGCACGAGAATGAAGAATGCGGGAACCGCGCAAAGCGAAGTGGCGACGACGTCGACGTCCTCGGATGTGACGTCAACGGAGACAGTCGAGGTTGTATCTTCCACCAGCGTCGTGGAGGAATCGAATCAGGTGAAGGAGAGCGAATCTAGAAGTAGCATGGTAGAGGTCACAAGTGCCAGTCGCGAGGTCATCATGGATTCCAAAGGTAACATTATCAAAGTTATCGAGACACCTCCACAGACTATCCAGCAGAGCTCGTCCAGCCGAAGAACCGGCAAAAGCTCTCAAGACTTTATAGCAGGCGAGCAGGTGCAATCGATTAAGCAAGCGAAGACGACGCGCGAGATTCCACGCGAACACGCAACGTCTCTTTCGGAAAGTCGGACAATTCAAGGAGAAATAACCGAACAGGCCAGTCAATCCGTGCAAACGCAAAGTCAAAGCGCATCCCATTCAATGGTTCAGCAGTCGAGCTCCTCGAGTGTCTCAATTGAGAGTACATCGACGAGCGAGGATCATAGCGGACATCGCTCCACTGTTGTAGTTTCTCATGATATTAAAAATGGAGCTCGCGTTCCCATACCTCAGACATCGTCAAGGTCGACCGAGAATACTCACGTGAGCAGCGAGACGAGCGAAGCCGTAACGAAAGACGGCCAGACAATGTCGAGCACCACGAGAATACGCGAAATGGGAGAAAGATTTAATGACAACGGTAAAATGATATCCACGTCGAGTCGGGAAGTTGACCGCGAGCATACAGTCACACCTTCCAATGTGACCATTATTAAAAATACCGATGATATCAAGAGAAGTGGCGATAAAGGTACGCGCAGCGATTTGAAATCGGAGAGATCAAACGTCGAGATATCAACACGTTGTAACAAGCCCGGCCAATCCACATGGGATGGTACGTTTGTCTATGAAAAACCCGCCACTCCTAAGGGCAAAAATGTCATTGATAAAACAGTAAGTCCGAAGATTCATAGCGGTACTAAAGATAGTGAAACAAGCGTTAAAGTCACTCGAGAGACCAAGGAGGCATCGTCCGTCGATCAGAATATATCTTCAAGTTCAAGCATGACTCGAGACTCGAAAACGATAGTCGATGAAGGTCAACGAATGATGACTTCTCTTCGTGATATCAAATCGGAGAAAACCGCCACAGATACGACAGATTTCGTTAGCGAAAAACATTCGAAAGGATCAACTCGTTACTCGAAACCTGGCGACTCGACATGGGACGGAAACTTCGTCGTGGAAAAAATGATGACGCAACCAAGACGGCGTAACGATTCCGACGTCAACGTTTTTCACGATCGCGGCGACAATGTCGTCGAAACGACGCAGAGAAAAGATTTCAAAGAAAGGAGCACGGATGGTAGATATCAGAAGGAGTCATCCGAAACTATGCGCGTCGTAAAAGGTGCTGCGGACAGCACCAGATTCATTTCTGAAGAACGACGAGATGTAAGCAGAGAGACTTCAATCCATGTTGATGGCACGCCATTGAGTAAGGATGAACATCCCGCTCGCGTATCGAGTTCATCGCAACGAAGACCCGGCAGACCCGGCGATTCCGCATGGAACGGCGAATTTACCTACGAAAAGTCGCAAGATGAAGTAAAGAAGCATCCTTCAGACGTCACCGTTGTCCGTAGAACGGAGAAACATCATGATTCCGTGGATGTTCAAGATGTCAGCGAAGAACAGAATGCTTCAAACGTTACCGAATCGGTCTCCACGTCTTACATCGTCGAGTACGCGATTTCTAGCGACAAGAAGAATGTCGAGAAGGTCACATCGGTGTCCGAGGTGATCTTGGAGGAAGATGGTCCTGAGGATAAAATTACGCGCCGCCATGGAAGTCCGGAGAGACAGACAAAATTTGATACAACTTCGCGCTGTTACAAGCCCGGTCAATCTGCTTGGGACGGCACCTTCGTCTATGAACGACCAGTAACACCTGATAGTCGCCGAAGGCCGGAAGATAGACGTACAGTAAAAACTATAGATATTCGAGATGTTACGGAAGACAATTCGGTTAACGAAGCGGACGTCACGAGCACTTCTTACATCATCGAGCATTCATCGAGTCAGCAGAGTTTCTCGGACATCAGGGATGCCAATGTCACGTCCACGACGTACGAGACAGTCATTTACGAGGGACGTCCTATTGAAACGACGATCAGATTTGATGGAGATGCATCACGAAGCAAAATTTCGACGACGGAACGTCGGACTAGTCCTTCTCCACGACCTAGAAGTCCGGAGAAAATACCGAAAGACAGAGATCTGCGAAGTACTAAACCCGGATCGTCAACGTGGGACGGAACTTTCGTATTGGAAAAATCACAAGATAAGAAGCGACCACCTAGCAGGGAATCCATTGACGGTAGGCTACCTCATCCAGCGGACAGCAAAAAGACACCCCATCTAGATACGTCGAAGAAATATATTAGCGAGACTACTATCGATCTCCAAGATGTCACGCAAAATGTATCAAACACGTCAGAAATTACGGGAAGTTCCGTTGTTATGGAACAATCCAAAATGCACAAAAGTTACACGGATTCCTCCAATCTTGATTTCTCGACAACTTCCTTCGAAACTGTTATTATTCACGACGGTCAGCCAGTAACGACGCAAAAAACAGTAACCATTCAAGAAAGCCCTCAGAGCGCCGTGAAGAGGCTGCCTAGTAGTGACGTAATAACTACTACTGACATTAAAGAGACCACTGTTAAAAGCGAGAAGGAATCTCGCGCGGACGATAGAAGTTACCGACCTCAAAAACCAGGCTCGTCCACATGGGACGGATCGTTCGTGTATGAGAAAGCAGATGAGAGAAGGCCAAGCGATAAAAAATCACCGAAAGATGTACATGGAGTCGTGGTCGCTGAACAAAGTCCAATTAAAGAACAACGGACCGACAACGTTACAATTTTGGACACATCAAAAGGTATAACAAGTACCACCGATTATTCTACGAGCTCTGTCACGGTCGAACAAACATTCGTCACGGATTCAGAGACGTACGATTCTTCAAATATATCGAAAATTTTCATCAAAGAAAGCGCAGAAGATAAAGTACGCGAAACCGATAAAAAGCCGAGACAGCTGTTCGACGGAAAACCTGAGCCATCGCCTCGACGACGTCCGGAAGACATTAAAGAGCCTAAACATGAAAAACCGGAAAAGAGTCCGATGGATCGACCGACGAAGCCAGGCGCCTCCACCTGGGATGGATCGTTTGTGTATGAAAAACCAGAAGAGAAGATACCAGGAGATCGAAAAGTGCCGAAAGATACTAAAACTGAAGACAAGCGAAGCCCAATTAAAGAAAAACCGAGCGACGTCGCTAATTACAGAACATCTATTACGATACTAAACACATCGAAGGATGCGTCAAGTTCTGCCGATTATTCTACGAGCTCCGTCACGGTCGAGCAAACGCACGTCGCCGATTCAAAGACGTATGACTCATCGAATATATCAAAAATTTATATCAAAGAGAGTTCGGAGGATAAAGTACATCCGGTCGATTATGAGAAATCGAAACAGCCCTCCGACGAAAAGCCGCAAAAAAGTCCGGTAGACAGAACGCATCGACCATCGAAACCTGGTGCCTCCACTTGGGACGGTTCTTTCGTGTATGAAAAACCGCAGGATTCGCAGAAGAAACCAACACGTGATGAACCAACTGAGGTACCGAAGAAACCGGTAGACGTGCGAAAACCGATTGAGAAAGAAAGCAAACCAGCGGATCAGAAAGAAAAAACGATGCTTACTCCGATTTCGCGAAAATCAATAGAGACACAAAAGGACGTCACTGAGATCAAACGCGACGATGTCGCGGATATCACACGTGCGGATATTACGCGTACATCTGAAGTGCTCCAGCAATCTTATGTAATCGATCAGTCTTTGAGATTTACATCTGTGCAAGACGTGCGCGATGTTAAGGACGAGCGTGTCATCACTGAATTTACGGCGGACACACGCAAGGATGTGGTGAGTAATTGCAAGACGTTAAAATGTTTCTTGATTAGCTGTCCACAGGAAATCGTGTTAAAACTGCGACTCATTCAGCTTTCCGGGATATTATCTTATTTTTATTTTAACATTCATTCCTACAAGACATCGAATACTGAAAATTTAAACTTTCTACTTTCGGTATTCTTAAGTTCTCAATATGATACATTAACTTCTCGATAGTTGACAATACCAGTTTGGCAGATTTATAAAAATCTTATCGAAACACTTTGAGCTCAGTCCTTTCGGAAGAGACTCGAGTGATACTTTCACTTCCAAACCGAGCGAAGGTTGTAGGTTCGTGTGTATGGCGCCGCGTTGAAAATAAACTTGACGTAATATAGCGATTCGTAGAAAGACGGGAAGGGTTAAGAGAGTAGAAGAAAAAAAGAGAATTCGTTTTGTTAAATCCTCTATGTTGAAACAGACAGAATGTGTGTGTATATATATATCGCGTTCCTAACATATACGAATTTCTGGACGACTGAGTCCCGATTCATCGAACTATTGCAAAGTGAATCGAGCGGAAATCAATATTTCACACATGAGAGATGATTCTGTCCGACATACAGTACCTCAATCGTTGTACCATGATCGTCTTAAATCGTCAATATGCTACTGCATATTACAGAAATATATGATGTATCTTAATATTTAGAATATGTTATCGTTATTGACATGAAATCAATACGATAACCTCTGTTTTCGATTAAAGAGTGAACTTTGATGCATAAAAACAAAATTTATCTTCGAGATAAATGTATAATTTAAGACAATAACTGTGCGGTTTAAATTAGATTAAAGGGGCGCGAACCTTTTTTTTCTATCTTATCAAAATAATATCAGACTTAAAATATAACATCAAACAACATTATTATAGAAAAAAAACAAATTTAAATCGTTGCTGTATTATATTTATATTATTTATGACAAGAGTCTGTATACGAAGATTAATTGTTATGATTATTTACATTTTCATTAAAAAATGTTCATGAAATTACATTTTTCTCGGACTTGCAAGTGTAATCACTTGCAATTAGGCTAAACCAAGCATATGCAGAATGATAATAATTGCATCTAATATGAGCAAATTCGGCAGTGATGTCACCTCTCACTATAACCCGCTTAATGTACGACCAATTGAATTTCACGCGTGTTCCGCTTCGCTTATCACGCGGTCGCTTCGTTCAAGTGCTATAGAAATCTTAGTTAAGAGATGCCACGTTGAGAGACACGTGTACATTGACGTCACTCATCGCTAGTTACAGTATCGATAGCAACGACCGATAACATTAAATAAAATAATAATAGTACAACAGAGTAATACACAAGTACATCGTTTTATAATAATACCTTGTATATCCACTGTATATTTCAATATGCTATAGAACTTAATATTGATTTAATCAATAAAAACAAAATCGCGCGTGGTATCACGGGTTTTACACTGCAGCTGCGTCGCTTTGGAAAAGTTACACGTTTTCATAGAAATATGAATCGATATCAGACATAAAGATAATTGACATAATGATATTTTGGATCTTACTGCTACAGCGATAAAACAATAGTGTTTCTAAAAATTTGAAATTCATTTCAATTTAGAGAATTAGTTTTTGATAAAAATAGCACTTCATTCTTATTTAAATGATTTTGTCTAAGTTGTAAAGTTGACTTTTTTAAAGAGAACTTTATTGTTTCTCTGCGTTCAATTTTCTTATAGTTATTTTAATTTGAATTTTGTTTCATGCTTGAGAAAATCTTATTTTGCACATGTTGCTTATTGAAGATTCAGTGAGCATACTTTTCACTGTTAAGCGTAGTGAATTTCCTAATTGAAGATGCTCGGGACAATTTGAAACTTTATCTCCACGCAATATCTCACAAATATTAAGATCGGTACTCTCTTCGAAGTTCACGTTACCTAACATCATAGTCTGAATATTCAATGCTTCGCTCACAAGGATAATTCACAAGGACTACGTTGGTAATTTGCGATATGTTCGCCCGTTTACAAGTTTACACCCGTTGAACGAATTATAAAAAATAGCCATTCGTATAACTTATTCTGCACCATACGGACAGTCCGTTTCTTTAAAGCAGCTCGATCTAATTCTCACAGCCGTGACTTTACTACGAGGTCTCGAGATGATCGATAAAATGCTTTAGTACGTTCGCGTTTGCACACGTGTTTTTCGCATTACTTCATCTATCATTCTATGAATGAATATCCAGCGATTATCTCTCTCCATCTTTTAGATCAAGAGAAATACTTTATAGAATCTATATTTATGTGTTATGAATGTAATTTACGTCCCTATTCAAAACAATTCATTTTGATGCTACGTTAAAGACGCCCTTGCTTTTGATTGTTCAACATGCAAACAACTACAGAGATGGCCTATTTGGATCGAGATATGATGATACATACGACGTACATGAACACGCGTGATCGCGTTTCCTCGGCGCGATTCGATATTATTATTTTATGAAGGCGCGCACAATATCTCGTCATGTCACACATTACGGCATCGATAAATGCGATATTTTATTATCAACACGTTCATCAAAATTCTTTTAAGACAGAAATGTTATCAGACTTGTAGTTAATACGAAACATCAACAGAGAAATGATCATCCTTAATGTGAAATTTCTAGATAGACAAAATTATATTCATCAGGAAAACAAGTAAAGTCTAAATTATGTAAACGAGCTTCATTATGAGCAACTCTTGATATCGTCGAGGAGGGGCAATCAGCTTAAAGACTCAAGCTACTTAACCCGCTAATTAAATGCCAAAACTTCATCTGATGTGCTTTATGCGAATTACATTCGAGCGTTAAAAACGGTAAAGGATTTGACTAATAATATTAGCAAACGTTATTTGCTTCGTTGTAAATTCAAGCTAAAAAGCAAGCGTGCTTATGAATATAATGGCCAAGTTACAACAAATTGAAAAAAATAGACACGTGACACAATGTAACGCGGACAGTTATGACATAAAATACTGCGCTTTAAGAATGGATAGCAATCTGCACGTTCGAAAACATATAAAGGTGAAATATATAAAATTTATAAAAAATCATTATTAGATATAAAATTTATCTTAATAACTAGAACTGTTAACTTTGGTTTGTTTTGTATATATGTCGGTTATTCATGAAATTTTCGAGAATTGTAAGCAAAAAAGATTCTCTACACATTCTAATAAAAATATAAAGTCTGAAAATCTTTTAAAATACGCTTATTAAAATAAAACTTTTTGTACAGATAATTTACATTATTGGCAGTATCACTCATAATCTATTTCTGGAAATGACGCAGCAATGTCGTTAACGAAACAAACTAAATCGCAAAAGTACGGTTCGACGGTTCGACAAACGCGTTACACGATACTCTGTAAGCGTGCACATAAAAGCCGTATACACCAATCTCGTGTTACCTGCATTCTGTCGAACTAAGCATTACCGGCGTTCCTAATCTCGTTCATGCTCGCGGCGCTCATTATGCAGCACGTTTGAAGCTCGTAATGAACGCTCGTGGAAAAACGAAGCCGCATTTACGTCGTTATTGCACCTTGAAGTCTTTGCCGACGTGTGTTATCAAAGCGTTTACTGTGTATAATTAACATGCCAATTGAATATCATAAATCTTTATTTTTTTTTAAGTGATCGTTATGACATTGACTTTAGGTAAATTGATATAACGTTGCTATGTGCAGTGTCGTCATTCGTTATGAGCAAAGTAGTTCTAAAGTTTGCGAGTGGTGGTGTAGTCATAACTGGTCATTTATGTTTGACATTTCCTAACAGTTTATATGCCATATCAATGCAAGTACTTTGTTATATAGTCAATGTTATAATCAATTCGTTACTAATACAACGCTAAAATTGCAGCTGTAAAATTCTACGTAATATCAATTTATAAAAATGTGATAATACTCAACATTACAGTATATGTAATAATTAACAGTGTAGTTTACACTGTGCGTGAAAACGTTATGAGCAACCATAATTATTGATCGTATTAATTGACCAATACTTTGCTTTATTTTATATATGTATAATATATTTCCTAATATTACTGTTATTTAATAAAATCTAAGAAAAACTAAAAGAATACTTTTTGTCGTATTTTTTAGAGAGATGTTACCGAGTCAACGAAGAAATTTATCGACAAAGAGCAGGTGACTAGTATGGTAGCGCGGGATGTCATTGACGACACCCGATTCGATACCATCACTGGCCCGGCACCCCGGTCTCCAGCGGATTCCACGAGGAAACCATCACCGGAACGACCCGGTTATCCTCGTGGAATACCTGGTCTCAGGGAAGATGACCGACCAAAACCGACTCCAGTTGCTGGAAAGCCTAGCCGACCTCCGCAGCGCGAAAGAAGCCCTCAACGACCAGTGGATGGCAGGTAAACGAAAAATCAACTGTTTCTTCTTTTATCTTTGAATTACTCTTTTTTTTTTAAATATGTCTACATAGAAAAAATAAAAAGGTAACAATTTATAACTTGTCGATTTTTTTAGGCCTTTCGAAATCCGGCCGAAGTCACCTGAAAAGCGTCGAGATCATACATCGCCAGTTAGAAAGCCACAGCCAGCTGCCGGCAAGCCAAGTCGACCTGAAGAAAAACCTGTAGCATCTAGAAAATCCGATAAAGAATCTGAACCCTCGAAACCTAAACTTAGTCGACTTGCTGAGAAGCCTGAAAGACCGAAGAAATTGGAACAGGACAAGCCTAAACGAGGAGATCAAAGTCCAGACTCTCTCGATGAGGACTATCCTAAATCAGTGCCAGTACCGGATGTATTGTCGAAAATTCCTCTAAAAGAACAGTGCATTTGCGAGCTTTGTACTTGCGGGTAAGTATTCTTTGTGATAAAAAAAGTATCTTTATATATACATGCATATATATATATATATATATATATAAGGATATAAAAATAAAAAGCTTGGTACGCCCGCTAAGTGTAGAATTTAATTTAAATTACATGCTAGACATTAAGCTGAAATTAAGATTCTACCACAATAAAAAATTAATAATCTAATAATATAATTGAATTATAGACTCTTATATGTTTCAAAAACAATACAAAAAATTTAAGCAAATACAAAGGCTATTAAGAGTCAACGCTGTTAGCAGTGCGCAAAAAAAATTCTACCACAACTTTTAATTACTTCCTGCATGCATATAAATTTTAATATTAAAATATTAATAAACATTTCACAAGGAATATAATTAACAAGTATAGAACTAGTGCGAATACGATTTAATTTAACTTATCTACACGTTCGCTGCAGAGAGGAACACGGTTGACCTACTTCTAAACATTATTAACAAGATCAGAATACAAAACTTGCCAGAGTCGAGATGCAAATTGACGAGAGGAACAAGAGATTGTCTTCAAGGCCATATTTCCTACTCTATTAAATTCATTGCAGCAATCCATTCAGAGCCGGGCTGAGTTTATTACGTACGAATGTATTTACTTTTGTTTTAACATTATTTTAGTATCTGTCTCACGCATTACATACTTCCTGTATAGAATCATATTTTCGTTATCAAAAGTTTTTTCTCTCATCGTTCTTATTAGATTAATTTTAACTATTAAGAATCCTCTTTTCATTAATTTAATTCTCGCTATAAAAAAAATCAGTAATATACTTATTGATAGAATAAAACTTTTAATAATGCAGTAGTATTATACAAGTCAATTTTTTATTTAGAAAATACTATATATGTATGCATAACATGTAAAAGTAGGACACGAGACAGATCCTTTTACGGCAAGTTGTTCTGGGCGAGGGCAAGTCATCGCACGATTCCTTCTTTATTCGAACTTTCCAACCTACGTAGCTCTGCATGACGGTGACGAATCATACAAATTTATCATACAGCTTTGGTAATTGTGTTAGGCATATCATCATTTTTGAAAAGTATATTTATTATATTATATCTTTTGAAAAGTAGCTAATTATGGTAAACTTTTTAACAACCTTTTCAAGGTATTGATAAAAGAAAAAATTTTTCTAAATATTTAAGAAAATTTTTAAGTTTTCGTTTTAGCTGTTAATTTGTCATTTTTGGTGACGATAATAAAAAAAGACAGTAGTTTTAGAAAAATTTTATATATAATACCACATAATTATATATATAAATTCAGTCTTATCAGATTGAAAATGTTGACCTAGATAGAGACTCGTAGCGCAGATTTGCGAGCGAGAGGTACAAGTTTGTAGAAAATTAGTCGTGTCGTGGCTGCCTCAAGAAATAATTGCGGTTCGTCTACTCGTAGGCGATTAGTCGTTGGAAATTTCTACGTAAGTCTGCCCGTAACTTTGAGGTCTGCTAAAACTTTTCTCTTCTGTTTAAAACGCGGCTCTAAAGGGATGTTCATAATGTGTCATATAACATGGTTTTATCCAATAAAAAATACATAATGCTACTCGACTTTGACCAAGTCTGGCTTTTACGGAATTGCATTTTCGTAATACCCGCAACGGCAAAGAAGAAAAGCGAAAAAGAGTTATGAGAACGAATTTTGACATTGCTCGACGTAGTTACACAAAAGTAGAATCTCTCATATGAAATGCCGGTGTCCAAATAAGTTGAGTTGCTTTGCATAAAATATTGGCAAGAATACCACGTTTCTTCTTTCCATACCATTTACAGAAACTAACCAGTATTTCCATCAAAAACATCCACCAGCAAGACGTAATTCGTACCTTTCACAGAACGGTGAAAGCTTTTCATTAATTAATACGATCAATATCAATAGGAACATTATTCGTTCATTTGATAAAGTCTTAAGTATATATTCTGAATTATATTCAATTATAAATGAAGGTATCTAAAACTTCCAAAGCAATTGGATTGTAAAAAACTTAATCAATTCTTGTAATTAAGCCGAAGAATATTTCATTAATTGAATATGTGCGTATCAATAACAATTCGATTTACGTAAGAATGCATCTCGTTAAAACATACTGTTGTCTGACTAATAAAGGCTTTCCTTATTGTATCATATATATGAAATATACTCGAATTGTAATAAATATTAAATTAATTCTCGCTAAATAAAATATACATTATTCAGCTTATCGTAATTTTTACGACATTTATATATAAAAGATATTTGTTTTTAAATAATAATATATAAAATGTAATATTAACAGATATGATATTTTAAAATTCCGTGTATTGAGTGAACAATACTATTACAATTTTGTCTTTATATCGCGTATTGTAACGATTGTACGTACTAACTTCGAGAATAACAAGACATTTAAAACGACGCAAAACCTTTATATGTAGTCATTAAGAGCATAAAAGGATTGATGCCCTTTTGCGTCATATTTAAATCTCTATATGCATCAAGCCTTTGTTATGCACCAGTATTATTTGAACGAATATGAAAGAGAATAACAAAAATTTTCCGCGAACGCTTTTCTTCTCTTTCATTAATATTAAACAGGCATATATACAGTGAATGTAATAAGAATGTATGCAGTTTTGTTTACCTTACGATACTTCTGCTTTTAAATATGAACGCAACTGTTTAATAGATAGTTTTCTTTAAATATGCTTTTTCAAAACTTTACTTCTCATACGATCTGAAAAAAACATTGTAAGCGTTATATTTGTTTCTAAATACTAATAAATGAAAATATTTTAGACGTCATCGTTGCCCGCACAATTGGCCTCAAGAACATTTGGAATTCTCTTATGAAGAACCGTTGCATACTGTGACTTCCTATCGTCAGGATTATGATGAAAAACGCGTGGAAAAACAAACAAAATATTATCATGAAGATCACTTGCGTACAGAAGGTGAATTCATCGGACAGAGACGAACCGATTATGTGGCCACTAAAGGCGAGAGAGCGCCAGTCAGAAAACCGCAAGATCATCTCAAACCCGAAGGTGAATTCGTTAGAAGACCAAAGGAAGAGGCGCCTACAAAGGGTGAAAGGGCACCTGTGAAGAAGCCACAAGACAATCTCAAACCGGAGGGCGAATTTGTCGGTAAGCCTCGAGAGGAAGCTCCGAAATATGGCGAACGAGCCCCGATTAAAAAGCCGAAGGATAACTTGAAATTCGAAGGGGATTTCGACAGTAAGTTTAGTATTTATTTACAATTAAGCATTTACTTCCCTTATAGAAATTTACCACTAATACTGGTCAAGTATTGTTAACAGTATTTTTAATACTGAAAATAAGTGATTAATTGGCCAGTATTAGTGTTAAATTTCTATAAGGGTTAATTCCGTATGTAAACTTATATTAATAAACTTTTTTGTTATAAATTTGATCTCAATAGATATTTAAGAGAATTCATTGTATATTATACATGAAAATAAACTTTTCGTAAAATTGTATGTTCGAAAAAAGAATGACTTTGTTATTTTCTAGCTACAACAACGACCGAGCTGGTTTTCACTGGTACTCCTGGCGAGCGACCGATGCCAATACGTCGCAACACTTACACGAAGATAGAGGGTGATTTCACTGATGAAACGACGACGCGATCGCAATACATTGATCATCATAGCATTCAACGCGCTGAAATCGTTAAACGAACGGATAATCTCATTGTGGGAGAGGGTGAATTCACGGTTAGTAATTTTAACGATAAAACTTTCGGATTTTAATCAAAACGTTTATAAGACCGTATATGCAATTCCATTGTTTTTCTAAATTATCTTACAGGGTACCTCTCGTATCAAGGAAGATTTCCAGACTCATGTTATCGAACGTGAACCTCAATGGCGACCAAAATATCCTGAAGATACCGATCGGTTTTATAGCAAAACAGATATTATTGACAGTACTACGACTACTCAGGAACAATTTCGAACTTTTGATCAGGCAGATTATAAAAGTACCATAGTTATTAAAAGAACTGATAATCTAAGACCCGAAGGACCTTTTGAAGCATTGCCTCACACAAAGGATGATTACGTTACACCAATATTACTGCGTAGGCCAGAACCACAAAAACCTATAGATAATTTAAGACCTGAAGGGCCATTTGTAGGACGACCTAAAGATGACTATAAGCCTACTAAAGGAGAACGCGCTGATATCAAACGTCCTGAAGATAACTTAAGACCCGAGGGACCATTTGAAGGACGCCCTAAAGATGATTATTCACCTAAACGCGGTGAACGTTATGAAGTGAAACGGCCAGAAGATAACTTACGTCCTGAAGGGCCATTCGAAGGACGACCTAAAGATGATTATAAGCCAACCAAAGGAGAAAGAGCTGATGTTAAAAGGCCGCAGGATAATTTGAAAGCAGAGGGACCGTTCCAAGGACGTCCAAAAGATGATTTTACTCCGAAGACAGCAGAACGTCCTGAAGTGAAACGACCGAAAGATAATTTACGACCTGAGGGAGACTTTACAGATCGTCCAAAAGATCAGTATATACCTGGTGAAAAACGCACTCCAATCAGACATCTGGATAATTTGTATCCTGAAGGTGATTTCGAAAGACCTAAGCTGATACCTTACGGCCCTGGTGACAGAGCATCTATCGTTCGTCATCCGGATAATCTATTTCCAGTAGGAGAATTTCCAGACAGGGAAATTGAGCCATTCAAACCTGCCGACCGTAGAACACCTATTAAACATGTTGATAATCTTCGTCCAGAAGGTGACTTTGAAAGACCAGAGAAAGCACCTATTGGTCCAGCCGAAAGACGCACTCCAATTAAACATCCGGATAATCTTAGACCCGAAGGAGAATTCGAGCGACCTCGTCAAGATGGTTACCGTCCAGCAGAAAAACCAGAAGTCAAAAAGCCAGTGGACAATTTAAGACCCGAAGGTGAATTTGAAAGACCACGTCCTGAAAAATATGCTCCAGCTGAGAAACGAACACCTGTAAAACATTCAGATAATCTCAAGCCAGAAGGTGCATTTGAGCGACCTCGTCAGGATGGTTACCGTCCGGCAGAAAAACCAGAAGTCAAAAAGCCAGTGGACAATTTAAGGCCCGAAGGTGAATTTGAAAGACCACGTCCTGAAAAATATGCTCCAGCTGAGAAACGAACACCAGTAAAACATCCGGATAATCTCAAGCCAGAAGGTGAATTTGAGCGACCTCGTCAGGATGGTTACCGTCCGGCAGAAAAACCAGAAGTCAAAAAGCCAGTGGACAATTTAAGACCCGAAGGTGAATTTGAAAGACCACGACCTGAAAAATATGCTCCAGCTGAGAAACGAACACCAGTAAAACATTCGGATAATCTTAAGCCAGAAGGTGAATTTGAGCGACCTCGTCATGATAGTTACCGTCCGGCCGAAAAACCAGAAGTCAAAAAGCCAGTGGACAATTTAAGGCCCGAAGGTGAATTTGAAAGACCACGTCCTGAAAAATATGCTCCAGCTGAGAAACGAACACCAGTGAAACATCCGGATAATCTTAAACCTGAAGGTAAATTTATCGGCAAACCGAAAGAAGATTTTATACCAACAAAAGGTGATCGCGCTGATGTTAAAAGACCAGCGGATAATTTAAGACCGGAAGGTCCATTCGAAGGTCGACCGAAAGATGATTATCGACCAGTGCGTGGAGAACGTATGGACGTTGTTAAACGCACGGATAATTTGCGTATGGAAGGAGATATAGAAACATATAGATCCAGAGATGAATATACTGATTTCTTAATACGCGAAAGAACTGAAATTACTAAATATCAAGATAATTTACGTATGGAAGGTGAATTTATCGATACGAGAACGCGAGATGATTTCAAAATTGTTAAAGGCGAACGCATGGACGTTGTTAAACATCGTGATAATTTAAGACCAGAAGGTCCATTCGAAGGTCGTCCGAAGGATGATTATTCACCCAAGAAAGCAGAGAGACCTGAAATTAAAAAGCCGGAAGACAATTTAAAACCAGAAGGCGATTTCGTACGTCAGCCTAAGAAAGAAGCACCTAAAAAAGGTGAAAGAGCTGATGTGAAAAAACCGAGAGATAATTTGAGGCCGGAAGGTGAATTCGAAAGACCGGAAAAGAAACCAATTGGTCCAGCAGAGAGACGTACCCCGATTAAGCATTCTGATAATTTAAAACCAGAGGGTGAGTTTGAGAGACCAATACCTGAAGAATTCAAACCTGCCGAAAGACCAATTGTAAAGAAACCACATGACAATTTAAAACCGGAAGGCGAATTTGTGTCAAGACCAAAAGAGGAAACGCCAAAGAAAGGTGAAAGAGCTGATATCAAAAAACCACAAGACAATTTGCGACCGGAGGGCGACTTTGAGAGGCCGGAGAAAAAACCAATTGGTCCAGCAGAGAAGCGTACCCCGATAAAACATTCTGACAATCTAAAACCAGAGGGTGAGTTTGAAAGACCTAAGCCTGAAGAATTTAGACCTGCCGAAAGACCGGTAGTAAAGAAACCGGACGATAATTTAAAACCGGAAGGCGAATTCGTCTCTCGGCCAAAAGAAAAAGTGCCAGAAAAAGGTGACAGAGCTGACGTTAAAAAGCCGAAGGATAATCTCAAACCCGAGGGTGATTTTGAAAGACCGGAAAAAGCACCTGTTGGTTCAGCGGAGCGACGTACTCCGATTAAACATCTAGATAATTTAAAGCCGGAAGGTGAATTCGAACGACCGGAACAAGAAGATTATCGTCCAGCAGAAAGGCCAGAAGTCAAAAAACCAACAGATAATCTGAAACCCGAAGGTGATTTTGAAAGACCTCATCCTGAAAAATATGCTCCAGCTGAGAAACGTACGCCAGTGAAACATCCAGATAATCTTAAGCCGGAGGGTGAATTTATTGGTAGACCTAAAGAAGACTTTACGCCCACTAAAGGTGATCGTGCTGAAGTTAAAAAACCAGAGGATAATCTGAGACCAGAGGGTCCATTCGAAGGTCGACCAAAGGATGATTATCGACCGGTGCGTGGAGAACGCATGGACATAGTGAAGCGCACGGATAACTTGCGTATGGAAGGAGATATAGAAACATATAGATCCAGAGATGAATATACTGATTTCTTAATACGCGAAAGGACTGAAATTACTAAATATCAGGATAATTTACGTATGGAAGGAGAATTTATCGATATGAGAACACGAGATGATTTCAAAATCGTTAAAGGCGAACGCATGGACGTCGTTAAACATCGTGATAATTTAAGACCAGAAGGTCCGTTTGAAGGTCGTCCGAAGGATGATTATTCACCCAAGAAAGCAGAGAGACCTGAAATTAAAAAACCGGAAGACAATTTAAAATCAGAAGGCGATTTCGTACGTCAGCCAAAGGAAGAAGCACCTAAAAAAGGTGAACGAGCTGATGTGAAAAAACCAAGAGACAATTTGAAACCGGAAGGTGAGTTTGAAAGACCAGAAAAGAAACCGATTGGCCCTGCTGAACGACGTTCTCCGATTAAACATTCTGATAATTTAAAACCAGAAGGTGAATTCGAAAGACCTAAGCCTGAAAAATTCAAGCCTGCTGAAAAACCGATTGTAAAGAAGCCACTCGATAACTTGAAACCTGAAGGCGAGTTCGCACTTAGGCCAAAAGAAGAAGCACCGAAGAAAGGTGAGAGAGCCGATGTGAAAAAACCACAAGACAATTTGCAACCAGAAGGAGACTTTGAAAGACCAGAAAAGAAACCGATTGGTCCTGCCGAGCGACGTTCTCCAATAAAACATACTGATAATCTAAAACCGGAAGGTGAATTTGAAAGACCTAAGCCTGAAAAATTCAAGCCTGCTGAAAGACCGATTGTAAAGAAACCACTCGACAACTTGAAACCCGAAGGCGAGTTTACATCAAGACCAAAAGAAGAAGCGCCGAAGAAAGGTGAAAGAGCCGATGTTAGAAAGCCGCAAGATAATTTGCGACCAGAAGGTGACTTTGAAAGACCAGAGAAAAAACCAATTGGTCCGGCGGAAAGAAGAACTCCAATTAAACATTTTGATAATTTAAAACCTGAGGGTGAGTTTGAGAGACCTAAGCCTGAAGAATTCAAGCCTGCTGAAAGACCAATTGTAAAGAAGCCACACGATAATTTGAAACCCGAAGGCAAGTTTATATCTAGGCCAAAAGAAGAGGCGCCGAAAAAAGGTGACAGAGCCGATATTAGAAAACCACAAGATAATTTGCGACCGGAAGGTGACTTTGAAAGACCGGAGAAAAAACCAATTGGTCCAGCGGAAAGAAGAACTCCGATCAAACATGCAGACAATTTGAAGCCAGAAGGTGAATTTGAAAAACGTCTAAAGGAAAAAACACCGATCAAAGGTGACAGGGCGGATGTTAGCAAACCAAAAGATAATTTGCGACCTGAAGGCGACTTTATAAGACCACAGAAATCGCCGATTGGTCCAGCAGAACGACGTACACCAATTCGACACGAAGATAACTTGCATCCAGAAGGTGAATTTGTTGGTCGACCAAAAGATGATTTTATTCCCAAGCGTGTCGACCGACCAATTCAAAAAAAGCCTAAAGATAATTTGAAGCCTGAAGGAGAATTTGTAGGAAAACCCAAGGATGATTATAAACCGACTAAAGGAGAGAGAACTGAAATCGTAGTGCATCAAGACAATTTGAAGATGGAAGGCGATATAGATGTTTATCGATCTCGAGATGATTACGTGACTACGTCTAAACGCGAACGTATGGATATTATTCATCATGAGGACAACTTAAAGATTGAAGGAGAATTCGTTGATATCCATCGAAGAGATGATTATCGAGCTACTCGTGGTGAACGTAGCGAAATTATTAGGCATGAAGACAATCTTCACCCTGAGGGTGATTTCGAACGACCAGAGAAAGCACCGGTAGGTCCCGCAGAGAGAAGATCTCCTATTAAACATTCTGATAACTTAAAGCCAGAAGGCGATTTTGTACAACGGCCGAAGGAAACCGTGCCTTTTAAGGGTGACCGAGCGGTGGTCAGAAAACCGAAAGATAACTTAAAGCCCGAAGGCGAATTCGAGAGACCAACAAAATCGCCCGTTGGTCCCGGCGAACGACGATCACCCATTAAACATCCAGATAATCTTCATCCGGAGGGAGAATTCGTTGGCAGACCGAAGAAAGACACGCCGCTAAGAGGCGATCGAGCGGATGTGAAGAGACCAAAGGATAATCTTCATCCCGAAGGAGAATTCGCGAAACGTTCCTCGAAAAAAGTCGAACCGGCTGAGCGAAGAACTCCGATCAAGCACGAGGATAATCTTTATCCTGAAGGAGATTTCTACATGGTGCCTAAGGATGATTTCATTCCAAAAAGAGGAGATCGATCGCCAGTTAAAAAACCTCAGGACAATCTTCGTCCCGAAGGCGAGATGAAAGTATCTCCGAAGGATGATTATAAATATGTAAATGGAGATCGCGTAGAAATACGTCGGCATGAGGATCACCTGCGTATGGAGGGACAAATAGACACTCACCGCTCAAGAGATGACTATAAGAAAATTACGAGAGTGGAGAAAGTGGATGTCAAGAGACACGAAGATAATCTCAGAATGGAAGGCGAATTTATCGATGTGCGTCGCAAGGATGATTACGTGCACGTGGTTGGTGAACGCATGCCAATTAAAAAGCGTCCTGACAATCTACGTCCAGAAGGTGATTTCGATAGACCTCAGAAGACCGTGATCGGGCCCGCGGAGAAAAGAACTCCAATCAAACATCCGGATAATCTGAAGCCAGAGGGTAACTTTGAACGTAGAACTCCGGATGAGATTGGCCCCGGCCAACGACGGTCGCCGATTCGTCACGCCGATAATTTGAAGCCGGAAGGTGATTTCATCGGACGTCCACGTGATGACTTTACTCCCAAAAGAGCAGAAAGAATCGAAGTCGTAAAAAGAGAGGATAACCTAAAGATGATGGGCGATTTCGAAGGCACAACGTCTCACAAGTCGACTTACACGATAACTCGTGGTGAGCGAGCAGACATTAAGTCACACGAAGATAACTTAAAGATCAGCACCGGCACTATGGAAACAAAAACAACCAGCAGAGACACATATACACCTTCTAAATATGAGCCTTCTCCGATTGGTAAAACAGTAAATCGTCGAAGACACATGGAATCATCTATTTCACTCGGTGATGACACTACCATAATGACCACGACGAATCAACGTAACTACAATACCTACACGAAACGCACAGGAAAAGATATCGCTGCTAAAATGAGTCAGATGGAGTCTGATACTAGGAAGACCGTGGAATCGCAAACTTTAGCGGATGGAACTGTCGTTACAACTGTAAAACGTACAACTACCTCTGCTCAATCAGATCAGAGAGCTGTTAATGCTCAAACTATCTCTCGTCATCAACAAACACAACATATTACGGATCGTCGTCAACCAATTGATGTTTCCCCATCTGGACCACAACCCGTGGATTCACGAAAAACGACTTCCCAATTAGCATCTAATCAGCATCATGAACAGCATCAAAGAACTCATTTGAGCGAGCAACATTTGCGATCACAGAACACGCAGAGTCGTCGAACAATCGAGGACAGATCGTTCACGGAAGGACTAAATCGAGGGCAAATAATGCGAGCGGAAGATACATCTCGTTACGCGATAGACGCCACACACGGCGAGCATCATAGACAGCAGCATCAGCAGCAGCACGTCGAGCGTCATCATCAGGAAATGACCAAGCGCGATTATGTGAACGCGCAACGTACGGAAACTCGACAAAGATCCGCGACGAAACAACATGAGCAACACATCTCCACTCAGGCTCGATATAATTCGAGCAGCCCGGAATTCCGGCAATCAATCAACGGGCAAACGAGCGTAGAACGATCACACGTAGACTCAGCGACAAAGTCCAGTCACCATCGCAAGAACGTGATATCCTCTTCGTCGGCTGACATCAGCAACGCAGTACTCCATCGACGTGGCGCAGCTTCTTCCACCGAGGCGCTTCACACGATCTCGTCGACGGCGGCAGACCAACGCAAAAGTATTTCAAATCTGGCCGAGAGCGGGCGGTACATCAGTAATTCGAGCCAGAGTAACGATAGACGTAGCTTTACTTCGCTGCACCGCAGTTCTAAAGAAGTCAATCCTTGGGCTTCTTCCAGCTATGAACGCCCGCAGAGAATTATTCGGCAAGATAACCTGAGCGTCGGCGGGAAATTCTATTCACAAAGCGAGGCAAAAAGCTATGGAAATTTCTCACAAAATACTCAAAAAGTAGAAAGAATCCAGAGACAAACGAATGCATCTCACATTAATTTGGGTGATAGTAATACTGTCAGTTCTAGCATGTATAAAAGAGAATATGTTCCTAGACACAAAGGACCATGTCCAGCTGCTCTTTTAGAAGCCAAACAGGCACCTTTTAAGCACACCAGAGATACGCAGAAACATAAGTTTTACATGCCCGTCGTGTCCAACTAAATTGTGGCCTATTAAATTTAACGTTTTATTAACATTTTTTATAAAAATTGTCCCAAATGACAATGTTAAAATATCAGAATCAAAATTTTGTTCTGTAAAAAAGATTAAAATTATACACATTTATCATTATGTATAATATTTTAAAGTAATTTTTTGTTTATATCGATCATTGAGTAAAAATATATACCATACATATTCTTTAATAATTATAATTATAAATATACACATAATAATCAATAATAATGATTTGATTTTAGAATCAATTATAATTAATTATTATTGTGTTATTAATTAATAATTGTTAAAAAAGGAAATATAAAATTATACGTATCTAATACATATAGTAATAGTAAATATGATATGTTACTGTATATAGAAAATTTTTTTAAAGTACTCGAATTTTGTCAAGGTTGAACGATCCGAAAAGGATTTTTTGAATAATGCTGTGATGATATCGCGCTGTTAAAGAGTTAATTTATATTTTATAATCGTTGAAATTATTTCAAGTAAAAAAATGAGTACTATAATCGTTTTTAAATTACTGCAATATCAACGGATGAAATTTGATCTATCGTGTCTCTTGTACAGCAATATTAAATGTAAGCTGTTAAAATACAATACATATATACTTAATATACACAATTTCTGTTTAGGATGCAATTACGAATGAAAATAATTGGTCGATATAAGTATATAAATCTTGATTATATCACTAACTTGTATCTACCGACGAGTAGGTAGCCGTCCGTTATTCATTATATATATTCCTTTCTTCTTAAAACACGTGTATACAAAGCAATAACTAGAGCTTAAATCCATGATACGGTCGGATCTAATAGAGCATTAGTTTCGTCCGATAATTAGGATAGTAAGTGCCATTATGTTATTCTATTTCACTGACTTTATAATATAAAGTTTTTATATAGCAATGAGTTTCTTGCTTATGTTTTATTTAATTTTCAGCTTATTTTGTTCTCGCTCTTATTTAGCGTTGTGTTCTAAAAATATATTTTCAGCAAAATATCAAATAGAAAAAATACGTGACTTTCTTTCCTTTTTCATTCTTAGTAATTCTTATTATAAATGGGTAATTCAACTTCTGGATGTTGGTTTATTTACTTTATAACATTTATTTTATTTGAATAAAAAATTATATTTATTTGTTGCATGAGTTTTATTTTGTTACCATTATATTTGTTTTATTAATATATGTATTTAGACGATTAAAACGCACATAATAGGAAAGTATTTGATATTATTTGTTGTTTGTACAATGCAATATACTGTACATTCGATACATAGTTGTTACAAAAATTAATTATTAATTAATAAAAAATTATATGTAAATTGAACATAAAAGCAATTAGGAATTTAGATTTAGGATTTTAATCAGCATTGGTAAAATCTAATTTATCAGAATAGTTTTGGTGTCAATATTAAATAAATTAAGCCAAAAGATCTGCTGATTATAAAATAATGCAGTAAGAATGTATATATATGTATATTGAATTGACAATCCTTTTTATTAATACTATTAGGATTTATTAATATTATTGGCCATAAGCTGTTCGCAAATAATGTGAATGAAAGCTCTATCGGCCTCATTGTGGATATAAAAAAAAGATCTCATTATGTTCCTAATTTTTTTTAAAACTTGGCTGCATAGACAATAATGGCTCTGGTGTGTATACTAGATTTTACACACTTAGAGATATATAACTAAATATATCCGAAGATATGAAAACATTATTTTTTTACTGTATTTTTTTACTAAATCCTGAAATTTATATGGCAATTTTTCTCTAAAATCTATATATCAAATCCATCTATATATCAAATCCAAGTCAAACAAGTAATAGGGAGACACGAATGAGAAACTTGTGGCTGTGCCGTTCACATTCATTTATTCGTGTCTGTTCGCACTCGCTTTCTTTATTTGAATCTGGCTAAAAATATTAACTTTTGATCAAATAAACATGTAATAATATAAAGTCTATTATAATTTGTGTAATGCTATTGTGTAAATAGATAAGTAGAAAAATATAGCATTAAAAATATGTATGTAATTGTACATTTAGATAAACAGCATAATAAAAAAATAATGCAGTTTACATTTTTTAAATTCTCTGACGAAATAAAATTTGCATATTTTGATAATTTTTTTATTGAAATTGGATTCTCCACGATTATGAAAGAAAATTTATATGTCTCTCAAAGTTAAGTAATTAAAGTGAATTGCAATTATAGAAAGAAGGAATCAAGAAAATATTGTATATTATTTTCTATAAGGGGAATAATTTGGATAAGTTAACAAAAATGTTCAAACTGTATAAAAGATTGAGGTCATATACTGTATTCAATGAAACATACAAAACGTACACTTTCACATCAATACATAGTATTCGTTTTATATGTTTGATTTGATACGCTATGCAATCTCAATCTTTTATATGTATAATTAAAAAAATTCTGTTAATGTAAATTATCCAGCTTTATCCTAAATTTCAAAATGATATTTGTTCTTTTATTAATAAATTATTAACATATATTGGTCTTCCTAGCTCAAAAAATATTACACAGAGAAAGACGATAACTCAATTAACAAGTGAGAACCTCATGTCACTTATTGAACTCTGCGGAAACACTTAGAAGCGCATTATTTATAGTATTTGTAATTAGACATACATAGAGATGTAATATTAATTGTTCATTGTTAATATATATAAATTTTATATACATATATACATATACATATATATAACCTGTATATAAACGGATCACTGTATTTAACTTTTTCAGAACATATCTTGTGCGATAGAAACGATAAATGGCAAATATTTCTCGTATCAACGAGACAAAATATTAATTACATATTTCAACAAAATATATATGCATATGAGGTGAAACAAGGTTTAAAGTCGCAGTACCGTTACTACCTGTTCCTCGGAGCATCTCTCGTTCTTTCCGTCTCCTTTTGCTTCGTCGTCACGCTCTCGACGACGATTCAAGAGAGAAGAACAAGTAAGATCCAGCGCCTGTGGGCGATTCACCGTCTCACGCTTTTTCCCCTTCGTCCACCCTCTTATTTTTATACCTCGCTTCGACGCCTCGTGAAGTTTGAGGGTTGTTAACCCTCGCAACGAGATTATCGAAAATTTCGCGCCGGAATGGAGATTTCACTTCGAGAAACTTTCATGTCTCTCTCTCTCACGCAAAATTACAGGCTGCCTCTCTAATTACTCGATCTCGCTCGAATTCGTTCAGCGAACTTTCAATGTGACCGATCAAAAGGAACATTTTATCTCGACAACCGCAACGTTGTAAAACTTTCTTTCCATCAATGGACCAGTGTACATAAATATCGTAATGAGTGGCTATTTTTATAGGGTAAAAAAATAAAAAATCTACATTAAAAAAATTTTATGATACCATAGCTATTAAATATTAAATAAAACGATTTCAATTAAATGTTTGGTTAATCAAAAATAATTTTACTTTTTTTAATATTTATTTAATAATTGTAATTAAAATAGTTGGTTACATTGCTGTTTAATAATATTTACTAAATATGTAAAATAGTAAAATTATTTTTTATTATATCAATCGAATATTTGATTAAAATAATTTTACTCAACATTTAATATAGCTATTATCAGAAAATCTTTTTTCTATGCATGTGTATCTTTCGTAGAATTTTGTGTTTATGCATTCTAATACTTTTTTACATTATTACACAAGTTCTAGTTTCTAGTTGGAAAACAAACATTTCTCTCACAACTCGTTATTGAATAATCTTTGCTTATCTATCGCTGCTTATATACTGTATATATAATTAATGTAGCATCAAACTGTTATCAGCATTTCTTTTACGTTTCATTGCTAACTGTTACATAAATAATTAAGACCGCGATCTAGTTACATGCGAGTCGAACGATTAAGATGCCGGCCTATTAACCGCTAATCGCCGTCGATCGTAATTACATGACGCGTCCGCAAAGTGGCACGATTCTAAGGAAGTGGTTTGAGATCGTTGCCCTCTTTTCCCGGCCTGTCGCAAACCTCGCAGTCTATATCACGGGGAAAACAGACGTCTGAAAGAAATATTTATAAAATCGAAAGGATAATTTTATCTCGATATAGTTATTCAACGTGTAAATCCAATGTGTTTGTCGCGATACGTTGACACAAATTAAGACGTGCGCACATTTCCATATGTAACGCAGTTGCAGGCTCAAAACGATAGAAATACAAAAGAAGTACAGCGAGCCATTAACCGGCATATTGCCGTCGCTATAATCGTCGTTGTCATCTAGATCTTTCAAAGTGGTACAATTCGGAATAGCCAGACACGCCGAGAACGTTGTCCTCTTTCGCGCGGATCGGCCACTATACCTGCAGGCGAGCGTAAAGTCACCTGCCGCATACCTGTCTACCTCCCAGCGGCAGGCCGGAGGCAATCACTGGTCCTTTTAGTCTCTCTCTCTCTCTCTCTCTCTCTCTCTTTCTTTCTTTCCATTGCCATCATATCGCGAAAAAAACATTCGCTTTCACGAAAGTTTAGGTCTTCGCAGGCCTCTCCTTCGTTTACTCGATGCACGAGGTGTGCGAGAAAAGATGTGCCACACGCGAGGAACCTACGGTGAAATCCACGATTTCTGTTGGCGTTTCTTCCGCAAGGAACTTACACACTGCAAAATGGGCACAGTAAGTCTGACATTCGTTTCGAGCCCGGTACGCGCGCAAAAAATCCTAAGGCGCAGGATTGGCAATCTCTCCATTAAGATGTAAATACTCTCACGTCGTGAGATATTTGACATATCTATCGTCTCATAGACACCAATGAAGCATACCTCTTGGAAAACCATTGGATAGTACCATTGCCGATTAGAATTACATGTACTTAGAAAAAAAAAGTGGACGAACCAGTCTCTGTTCAGATCTTCACGTTTGTGCAATTTTTTCCCATCACCCGTTTTACGGCATGACAATAATGCGCCTTCCTTATAGGAACTTTTGTATCAACAAAAAGTCATCGGACGAAATGCTTGGCACGC